CAACCACCAACTCCTCTCGAAGTGCTTCTAGAGTCTGAGAAGGACGTTGCAAATTGAGCAATCTCCTACCCATCATATCCCACACGTGCTCAATTGGGGATAAGTCGGGAGATCTTGGTGGCCATGGTAACAATGTGACATCATTATGTTGAAAGAAGTCTATTGTGACTCTTGCAACATGTGGTCGGGCATTATCTTGTTGGAAAGTTGGATCTGCCAGGGTGTCAAGATAGGGTAAAAGATGGGGTTCTAGAACTTCGTGGATATAACGCTGCGCGTTCATGTTACCTCTGATGAAGATTAAAGGTGACCTGGAACCATAAGCTATAGCACCCCAAACCATAACTCCAACAGTGTGATGAACATGTCTTTCAACAAAAAACTGTGGATTCCTCCTTTCACCACGTCGCCTTCTAACCCTGGCACGACCATCGTGCATGCCTAAACAAAATCGAGACTCGTCACTAAAGACAATACTGTTCCATTCCTGATCCCAGAGTGACCGTTGTCTGCACCACTCAAGGCGATTACGTCGGTGTTCTCGAGTTAAAGGGAGGACCCAGTGTGGCCGGTATGAAAACAAGCCAAAACTTCTCATTCGTCGGTAAACACTTCGCATGCCAATAGGTCTTCCGTGTTCTGCAAACCATTCATTTGCAATGGACCTGGTAGTGGAGAAACGGTCCCTTAAGGCCAATAATCTTAGGCGGCGATCTTCACGGTCTGTTGTTCTACGGCGGCGTCCAGTGCCGCTTGCTCTTTGCGTACGGCCTTCTCGAAGCCATGCCTGACAACACCTAACCACAGTGTCTACACTTCTTTGCACTCTAACTGCAATTGCCCGAAAAGAAAGTCCAGCTTCCCGAAGTCCCACTATACGGCCCCTATCAAAATCACTAAGTTGACGAAATCGTACAGGTCTCCGTACTCTAGGCATCGTAACCGATCGTAAAGGATGTCAAGAACCAAAATCCGCCGTTGATTCTTTACTGCGGCTGAAATATTAATTTTTAGAGCGTTAGTGAATTAAAAAAAAAGCAGTATAAAAACCGGAATGTCCAACTGATAAGGCTGAAAAATTTTTCACTTGTTATTTAGAGGAAGATAAATACATTCACCAACTGTTATTAAAATAAAACCATTTAAACTGGGTGTTCGGATTTATATGTCACTTAGTATATTCCCATTCACCATTTCTAACACTCGCAAGCACATTCACCATTTATAAACAAAGCGATGAAGCCAGAAATAATGTTACCCAATACAACATTTTATAAATATCAAGTGTAGTCAGAGGAATACTGGGGGAGAATGTCAAATGCGCGCCCCCTTTGTTATTTCATTATATTACATTTTTTCTTATATCAGTTTAAATTCCAACATTATGGTGGGCTATGTCCTTTTATTCGAAAACATCTGAAATTTGCTCCAGTCTGAACATTAGTCCTCTCTGAGAACTCACGCAGGGGTATTACGTAACTTGAAAAGTGACATTATGTAATTTTTTTTTTTTAGATAATGTGGGTTTTTTACGACATACAAGGCGTCAACTTAGAATTATTAGCTGTCGTTCACTTCATGCTCACTTGTACTACCTAGTCACCAAATTGATATTTTATCGGTATTTTGGATATATTTTTGACGTAATAACCCAGCGGGCTTGGCTTGGCTTGGGAGAAAAGTTTAGCATTTATTGTCTGCAGTATTTACTATATTTGAAATGATACCCTTTACCCTTCAGATGGGCTAGTAAAAAAACGTTTTTACCGCAGCAAATTTCTTAGACAGATCACAACTTCGAAAACCCTTTTCCAGATGATTATTTTCAGCGATATTTGAATTTAAACATTGATATTTGTAATTGCCTCTAAGACAATCTGTACTTGTGTTTGCATATATCAGGAGATATCGCTTCATAAATAAGACGATTTGAGGAAAAAGATCAGATTGTCCCGGATGTTTCAAATCTAACTGTCACCAGTGGTATGTCGGAAACAGTAAGAGATACAAAGTCGATTAAATTGAGGTAAAGTTGCAGATCTATGTAACTAAGAAAATGACACTTGTAAAGTTTGGCAATTCGGAGTATCTCTAACTGAATTCGTTATATTTTTTCCTAACTTTATTTGAGATGGAATTCCAAAATAAATTGTACATTGAGATTGTATCTGTTTTCATCTACAATTTCTTGAAATTATTCTGTTTTCAATATTTTCATCTTGTTCTTTATTGCTTGGGTGAAGATCGGTTACAGGAGGATTATTACCTTTTTAACATGCTTTTATTAGCTTGTTGTATTTTTTAAGCTAATTTCCTTTTTTTCGGGAAGTCTGATCAACTTGAAAATTTGCACATGGGTGAAGGGCCGATTACAATATCTTGGAAAAAATCGAATTTGAAATTTAAAAAATTCATTTGCATTTAGTACATAAACAACAAAATAAAATGACCCATTCAAATACCCGCTGTCGGGAAAGTAAAGAAATCGTTAGGACTTAGATCAGAACTATATGGAGGATGGTCCAATAATTCCACGTTTTCTTCCGTTAAATATTACCTTGTTTTTTGGGCTGTGTGCGAGCTTGCATTGTCTTGGTCGCGGATGATTCTTCTTTCGGGGTTGATTTTTCGAAGATCGGTGACGACTTTTGGCAAACAAATGGTGGTGTACCAATCCGCAGTAATAGTTCTTTGCTCATTAAGAGAAATTGTTGCTTTTGACACAAATGTCGCGACCACCTTTTTCGAAACACTTCGAGAACCGATGACTTTTGTTGGCTTTTCTTCATCTTGGAACACCCAAACAGCCGACTGTCGTTTATTTTCTGGTTCATAACAGTAAATCCACGATTCATCACCACTAACAATGCTGTACACATTTTTTGAGTTTCCGGAATTGAAACGGTCAAACGTTTTTTGACACCAATTAACCCTGGCTGCTTTCTGCTCTTCAGTCAACATGTGGGGTATCCAACGAGAAACTGATTTTCTTACTCCTAATTCTTCATGTAAAACTTTTTGGATTGGGGTCTTTGAGATCTTCAAGGACGCCTCAATCTCGCGATATGTCACATGTCTGTCTTCAATGATGAGTTTCGCACAGCATCGACGTTTTCCTGGGTGAATGCCGTTTTTGGTTCACACACCCTGGGATCGTCGCTAAGACTCACCCGTCCACGTTTGAATTCTCCATACCAACGGGAAATTGTCGACTGATGTGGCGCTTCGTTGTAGAAAACAGACAGTAACTCAGCAAGGCATTCTTGTTGCGATAATTGTCTCTGAAAGTTGTAATAAAATATAGCGCGAAAATATTCTCCGTTGAGTTCCATTTTTCTAATGACTTGGTGACACTTAAAAATTCACTGTAGTGAGAACACTGCACGTATCGTTGTGAAACTTTGAATTTAAGTTTACTAAAGAGTGAGGTTAAGATTCAGTACTGACGTGGCCTACTATGTTTCTATATGCAAAACTTAAAAGACATCCCTCGTAACACAAATGTTACATAAATCGACCTGTGTTGTCAAAATTATGGTTTAAAAGAACCTGCATAATTGATGTATATAATTCAGAGAAATGAGGTGTGATGATTATCTTTAAATTTGTTGTTCAAAAATGGTTTACTTAACTTCTTTTTCAAAATTGTTGAAGATCAAAAGCTTCGTAGGTGCTGGTAATGCATTGTATAGTATTGTGGCATTATAAGTAAAGAACTTATGGAATAATGATGACTTATGAAGAGGCTTGGATAACGTATTCATAAAACGAATATTTCTTCAGTGGTTACATCCACGAAATATTAGCTTAAGTATTAAAAATGGAGGAAATGATGTGGTGAGACATTTGTGCACAAAATATAATAAGTGGAACTTGAATAATTTTGTTACATTAAACCAATTTAGTTGTCCAAAGTACAAGCTAATATGATCATACTTTCGTAGGTTAAAAATCAATCTACAACAGGAATTTTGTATTTTTTGCAAACGTTCTTCGGCAATCGTATTAGGTATTTTGAAGAGTGACATTATGTCGATTTTTTTTAAATTGTATTGGTTTTTCTACAAGATGTTAACTAAACATTAGCTGATGGACGCGTTATGAACTCGTTAAGTAGTACGTGTTGCCTAAACGTCATAAGGCTTCAATTATCAATGTTTGGCTCTGATGTGATGTAAAATCTGCTTCATAGATGGCATTACTGAGGTCTAAGCTGTAGGGTGTATACTATAGTTAGAAGGAAACGGCAATGCATAGGTGCATAGTCAGGATTTTTTGCTAAAAATATGTATTGATGATAATTCCATTGGATTCTTGTCTCAAATACACTTATTTGAGATGCAAAGCTAGAAATTAGTTGCGCATCCCCTTTCCTTATCTATTCTGGAAATTACATATGCAAAAATGAGAGAGATAGGAAATAATTATATGCACTGTACACTGCCGAATTACAAGTTATATACATGCTAACAGTAATAACACACAACGCGGGCGCGGTGGTGCTTTACCGTAGTCCTCCTTATGTTTTTGAAAACACAAAAAACAACGTAAACGACAACATATAAATAACCCGTCGGGCACAGTTAATAGATATACTTCGTTGGCAGCATATTCAGTAATGATTTTCTCTCATAGCAAATATCACTGATTTTATACACATGCATAATCATCCAGATGCGATATTGCTATTCAACCAACTTTCTTCTCGGAGATGAAAACTACAGACTACTCGGCTTCACAAAACATATGCAACCAACAATGCGTGTAGTTGAGCCATTCCTCCTTAGATGGACGCTCACAACGATTCTAGTGTGTAGACGTGGAATGACTGTTTGCACCCTAAAAACTACCTAGTCTGCAAGATAACATTTTATAGTTTTTTTTTACCTATCTAAGGTGTTTTACATAATACCCGTCCGGATCTAGAATCTGTATGTACTTGCATGTACTTAATAGAGACGAATTTACTATGATTATTTGTAATATTTGTATTTATATGTATGTTGCAGGAGTCTGAGATCTACCAGAAGTGCATCCGTCCGCCTCCGAACCGCACGGTGCTCGACAGCTGCCGGCAGTCGCCGCCGCCATATCGATCGCAGTCGGCTGGGGCGCTGTCGACCGCCTCCTCCTCCTCCTCTGCCTCCTCCACGGCTTCCTGCTGCTCCAGCACGGGGGCGGCGAGCGGCGGCGGGGGCGGCGGCAGCAGCAGCACGGCGGCGTCGTCTGCCGCCTCCACGTGTTCGCTGGCATCCTCGTCGAACGACGCTGCCTCCTGCACCGCACCCCTGTTACATCAGATGGGCAGGTGTCACTCGATGTCCTCGCAAAAGACTGATTTCTTGCAGCGGACGGTCAAGATGCTCACAGGAGGCGCCATCCGGAGGCCGGGCACGCCTGGAGTTACCGCTTCAGCTGCTACGATGCAGCAGCAACATACGCAGGTTGGTACCGATTGATGCATAATGAGCCGTGTTGATAAAAAAGGTGTCCGTGTACTTGCAAATTCTGAAAGAAATCCTTCCGATGGCATTCATAATAATTTTAAGCAAAACCTTATGAAGGTCACCTTTTTGACAGGAAAAAGAATGTCAAATATATGTAATTTCATTGGCCAGATAAGCATGGGAGGTTATCAACATGAAAACCACAGAATAAGTTTCAGATTTTTTGGGTTTCAGACTGGAATTCCAAATTTATATACGTAAAAGTCGGTGATATAAATTGCAAAAAAGAAGATATAACGGGTGATTTTTTAAGGTATAGGATTTGATTTTCAAAATAAACACAAAAAATTTGAAAAAACGATTAAATCTTTATTTGAGTCGATAGAACGGTCGATATAATTTAATGTTTAAAGATTATTTCATGTAAATGTTGGCCGCGGCTCCGCTTTAGATGGCCCATGCGCAAGGTCCAATTTTGGCACACTCTCTCCAACATATCGGCCGGTATCTCACGAATAAATGCTTCAATATTGGCTTCCAGTGCGTCAATCGTTGCTGGTTTATCCCTGTAGCCTTAACATGGCCCCACAAGAAATAGTCTAACGGCGTTAAATCACACGATCTAGGCGGCCAATTGACGGGTCCCAAACGTGAGATAAACTGTTCACCGAACTCGCCTCTCAATAGGGCCATTGTTTCGTGTGCGGTGTGGCATGTGGCACCGTCTTGTTGAAACCACATGTCAGCCAAGTCCAGCTCTTCCATTTTGGGCAAAAAAAAGTTTGTTATCATCGCACGGTAGCGCTCGCCATTCACAGTTACGTTCCGGCCATTGTCGTCTTTGAAGAAGTACGGCCCAATGATGCCACCGGCCCATAATCCACACCAAACAGTGATTTTTTCGGGATGCATTGGTAGCTCTTGCAATGCTTCTGGCTGGTCTTCACTCCAGATGCGGCAATTTTGCTTGTTAACGTACCCATTCAACCAGAAATGAGCTTCGTCGCTGAACACAATCTTTCGATAAAAAGGTGGATCTTCCTCCAACTTTGCCAGCGCCCATTCACCAAATGGGAAACGTTGTGGAAGGTCGTGTGTCTTATAAGGTTTTACACCCAAATCCTGTCGCAAAATTTTCCACGTAGTGGAGTAACAGAGGCCCAATTGCTGCGAACGGCGGCGAATCGACATTTCACGGTCATCACTAACACTGGCGGATACAGCCGCAATATTTTCTTCAGTCCTCACTCTACGTCTGTGTGTTGGTGGTTTAATGTCCAATAATGTAAACTGGTTTCGAAATTTAGTCACAAGCTTCCGAATAGCTCCCTCAGTAGGCCGACCAAATTGCCCATAAATTGGAAGCAGTGTTCGATGCACTCTCTTAACCGAGCATGAATTTTGATAGTAAAATTCAATAATTTGCAAGCATTGTTCGTTCGTAAGTCGATTCATGGTTAAATTATAGACCAAACTGAACAAGTTTGACAATGACACAAGACACGATTCACGCGTCATTTGTCAAAAACAGTGTTGCCAAAAAGATACTAGCAAAAAAATCACCCATTAGTTTATTCAATTTATTATGAAGCATGTCACGGATTTCCGCTGCTAGTGAAGCTTCATCGAATGCTTCAATTCTAAAATAATTCTCTATAGCATCATATTGCTCAATAATTCCACTTACAGCGGAAATCAGTGACAGCCACCTGGTATGTGATGAATGCAATAATTTGTGGAGTTTGATGTTAAAAAATATTTGAAATTCTTGAAATGCATACGCTTCTTACTAACTTTTGGGTGCATTTCTATATTTTTTCATTGTTTTCCAATTTTTTTTTGTTTGCCACAAACCTTTCAAAAAATCACTAGAAATATGACATTGAATAAAAGTTTTCACTAAATCACTAAACTTGTTCAAAAATCACTAGATCTAGTGAAATTTCACTTGACCTGGCAACATTGGACGTGCATGCTTGGAGCATACGCGCTTGGCACGTTGTACAAAAAATGTGACGACGTTCCTGGAACGTGCTTCAGTTTCTGGGTTTGGAGCGTATAGGTCAAAACAATACGTCTAAATACAAAATCCCACAGTTTTTTTCGTTTTGACAAATAGTACTTTTACCAAGAGATGTAACCCAAAATATGGCGTCCACAAAACAGCTGATGGCATCTAAACACGTTCTGTTCCTAGTTGGTCAGAGATAAATGCGGCATTGCCAGACATATAGTCCTTTTTTGGTGAATTCATTGCCCAGCACTTGTAGTGAAAGCATTTATTGTTTGAACATTTATTCATATGGTGGATATGTATCTTCCGTTTGCAGCCTACGAAATGTCTCTTTCATTCAATAAAATTGTAAATCACACAGCTCGCGAGTGCTCTCAGAGTCATGTAAATAGTTATCATCGAAACCTTGTAGTAGGGCCTACGCGAAATGATACACAATTGAGTTTAGTAACAAAGGGCATACGTCAGCTTGAAATGCAATTTTCTTCTAATCTCAAATTGCTTATTTGACCAATCGTCCGTGTATTTGACATGGTTGCCAATCATCTAGACAGCCTGCCCTTAAGATGATATGCTTACTTGTTTCGTGTTACTGAAACTGAGGTGTACTGAAAAAAGACAGAAAACATTCACCTCACTATAAGTTTTCTAAACATTTTGTATGTGTGGCAACACCACCTCGCTACGTACAGAGTCACCTATGTGCAAAACGCGCGGATCGTTGAGTGAATGTCGAACCATCTATGAGCTAATCGCCAAACCACGGACGGTCCGCTCCTAGATTTCATTTCTGTAAATTCGCAATAGTCCAAGAGCCAACCGCAAAGTTTTGGTTTCATCGCGTACTGATGTATCTTAAAAAACAGTAAAATTTTACGTATTTTGCTAAACAGCGAACTCGACAAGTTTACTGTTTGCAACAAACTACGAGGGCGGTTCAATAAGTACCCGTATTTGACGACAGAGGACGTTCATGAGGTAAGTTAATATTATCATCGTGTTCTGCCATCTATCAAACGACGGCACAACAAATTTCAGTCTGATTGATAGGTTAGTTTGGATTTGGCAGCCATTGAAGTAACACGTGTTTCGTGATTTTCGCTAACATGGAAGAAGAGCGGTATTGATACAGGCTGACTTCAGTTTTTGCATAAAGTTGAGCACCTTATTAGTTATAATCATTACTGTTGTTGGGGACCCTTTAAATCTAGTTCCTATGCTTAACAAAGTAACCTGTGTAGCCATATACCACAAGAATATTAAAATATGGCCATATAAACTCACTGGATGATGTCCACGACCTGTATACGGTTTTGCTAATATCTTATTTTCATCGCATTTCTGCTAAATCAATAAATGTTTTGTTTTTTTTCTTTTTTCTGAAAAAAAAACATTTCTCCCATTAATATTATGAAAGTTTTTTTAACTTTCCATGCACCGTTGTAGACGAAAAAGCACCGATTATTGAGTGATAATAAAAATAATCAGAAATTATAAACCCGCTTTTCTAAAATAAACAACTTGCAACAAAACCGCGGTTAAAACCAACGCGTTCAAGCGATTCGAGTAACTGACGTCATCAACCCTTGTGTCATCGTAAACCATATTATAACCGCGGTACATAACACAGAAATGTTGGTTATCGCTTGGATTTGATTATTTTGCCTTTATTTTCAGAAGCATTGTCAGACTATCCAATTGATGCCTGATGATGCTTTTAGAACGATTACGCAACACGTCGAATTCATATTTTAGTGTAGACATTCAAAATTATTTTCAAAGTATCTAGTTTTAAATGAAGCCAACTACAACGTTGTGACACTGGGTCATAGCATTATCAGTTTTCTACTATCCTCCATGACTGGTATCGGTTTAATGTGAGTATAATGAAAACAAAATCGATGAAAAAATATAACCTAACAATCTTGACACATTGTCATTTTCGGAGCGTATAACACCGAATTGAAGGCTGGTGCATGGGGGGCAGTAGATTTCAAAAATTAGTAGCTCAAATGAGGAACTGGAAAGCGGCACCAGGGTTGCCAGGCTTAACGTATTTACGGAAGGTTCACCGTTTTGATCCTTCTGCAGAAGTCGGGTAATAAAAAAAAAGATTTTTTATAAAAAAATTTCATCGCAACAGCTCGTATAATTTTGTGTATGTTATTGCAGGCGACGACGCAGCAGTACACAAGTAGTAGCAGCAGCACATTACCGTCAACGACGGGGCCAACGTTAGGAGGCCCCCTGACGCCGTCTACTGTTCCGAGCGGGACGTCGCAAGGCGTTGCTCCTGTTACTCCCGTGACGTCATCGGCGACGACAGCGCAACAGACGGCCAGGTCACACCACAGGCCGCCCGTCTGACCACACGTTCCCGCTTAGTCTCATCTCATCAATTTAGTACTATGGAAATTGTGTAGTAGGTCTTTTATTACGTGTTCCGGGCCGCTGCTTTGGGAGTCGACGGGATTGGCGGAAGTACCGTTGAGACATTGAAAGGTCAAGTTTTGAAGATATGGCATGCCTTAGTACAGAGTACCTTGCTTGGAAAGGGCTGGAGACGTGCTGAAACATTTGAAGATTAATGTGTGGGCAAACCTTTAAAGTACAAACTTGGGTTTTGTATTTAAAGGTTTTGAATTAAATATACAACAAATTCGCCTTTTCCATCAAATTGCACAGTCGCTATGGTTACCGAAACTTAACACAGCAACATTTACTTAAATAATATATATATATATATATATATATATATAATAAATAGGCGGTGTTTTTCTGTCATTCGAACTAGTTTGCTTCGTCAGAATATTTACACGTTTGAACTTTAACCGTTTGTACACGCACGCCTTTGTCTACCAGCATGCATTCTGCTGGTCGGTCTTTCGATTTTTCGCCACCTATCTAAACTCTTCCAAGTGATTTACATGGTAAAATTCAAACAATATAACTTTACTTGCTGAAAATAATTCTGATTAACTCAGTTACATTCAAAAACGTAATTTGAGGCAATCAGTATAAGACAAAATAGCTGAATAAATACGCTCCATATTGGGATAATGGATATTATGTAATGGCTAGAACACCATTTGATGTCTCAACGGTCCTCCTGGTTATTTAGTTTTTTTTTAAGAATTATACCTAGCGACTCGGTGGAACTAGCACGGTCCAACCGATTTTCTGGTGCCACTTTGTTGGTGTAGGTGGTACTCCTTTTACAGTAGAACACATTCTGATAATAAACGATATGGTAAATAAATTGGTGGTCACTATTCAACAATTTGAGTAATTGCTTACAACAGCAGAAATGGATCATGGTGACACCGGATCCAGACTCAATAGGGGGTTTTTCCACGTAACTAAGATTGCGTTTTGGTAGCTGAAATATGGACATCTATTGTCCAGAGAGGACACACTTTATCTCGATTTTTCGCTCGTGCTTTGGAAAAAAGTCGTATTTTGAACTCGTGGATTGGAAAAGGACTCACTCAAACCCCACTTTTTCGCTAAAGGAATCAGCCAACAGATTCTGATTTTTATTCCGCATACCGATGAAATGTGATCATACACCTCGCGTCGAACTGTCAACGTTAAAGAATGAAAGTTATTTTTCTTACCTCTAACCGAAGCCTAACTTACATGGCAAAAGGGTGCGCACATTCATTGTCATTCTATCAATAAGAAACAGATCTATTACTATTGGAATTTCTATTTTCTGTTACTTTGTTCCTGATAGATGCAGACGCCATCTATGGAGCAATAGTACAATCAGTTTTTTTGATGAGCCATAGTTCATTTGAAATGTCAAACGATTAGTTGTGCACCTGTTCCTAGATGACTCTGGGCGATTATTTTCATGTTTTGTAATTTGTAGAGGCTTTTTTCAGAGTTCATGACACTTATCGTATCTTTTATTATAAACAGTGACATGCTCGGAAAACATCAATAACCTTTTGATGATGTGGTCTAAGAGCCAGTCTCCTGACTGCCACAGATCAAAGAAATTTTTCAACATTTTCGTCAATTCAGACAGCTGATGGACGACCAGAGCGAGGTTTGTCATCGATCGACAAGTCGACATATTTTAATCGAGCAAACCACTCGTACACCCGAGTTTTTCCCATAGCATCATCTTTGCAAGCTATTTTCAACATTAAAACAGTTTCAGCAGCATTTTTACCAATCAGAAGGCAAAATTTCACAGCTGCACGTTGCTCACTGAAGCGTGCCATCGTATATATCGTAATGCTATTCCGGTTATTTTTGGGTACCTCCTCGTATATGTCGATAATCTGTTACACTTTCCTGTAAATCTATTACGATTTCTTGGGCGACAATCGCCAATGGCTGTAAATATTACCCATTACGGCAAGAAACAAGACTTGGAACGACACTACTCACATCTCACATTCTAATGCCTTGCTAATGTCAAATTTAAGTACCAGATACACTTGAAACTCCAGTGGAAGTTAGACACTTGAGGTAAGTTAAGAAACAAAAAAAATATTATTAATTCGATGAATTCCGCGTCAGGAAAACCTAATACATAATTTAACACAGAACTGGCTGACAGCTCTAAATAACAAGTTGGAAGTAGGTATAGTTGTAGTCACCGTTCTTGGCGGTTACGTCATCAACGCCATATGAAATAAGTAAAACTGCTATTCTCTCGGGTACGCATGAAGTGGGTAACAGGAGACCGCTGTTTTCATTCTCTTCATGGAAATACTCTAAAAAATTCAGCACGAGCTGTCGGCCTTCTCCATTGATCGTATTTCCGGGCATTGTACAATTTTATATTGAATATTGATAACAGGACACCTCGAATTGCAAATAAGTTGTCACTCTGACAAATATCATTGAAGGGCACTCATACGTAACGACAAAGTTTTCGAGACGGAGACACAGGCTGATGTCGTTGCTCTTGACATCACGAAAGCGTTCGATCAGCTGTGGCACTCTGCACTCTTAAGCAAACTTCCATCCTATGGCCTCCCAGAAAAGCTTTGCAGATGGCTGGCCGACTTTATCTCTGGCCGCAAGATATCCGTCGTAATTGAAGGGTCCTCCTCTTCATCCCACAACGTCAACGCGGGTGTTCCCCGAGGATCGGTCTTGGCTTCGAGACTGTTTCTCTTACATATCAACGACCTCCTTTCCTGCACGATCAACCCAATCCACAGCTTCGCTAATGACAGCACTCTACATGCAGGAATTCAGAGTGACAAGCCGATCTCTGCCGCTGAGCTGGAAAAAAAAGACTAGCGACGACTTCCTCTCTGACGCGAGACCTTGAGGCTATCACTGCTTCGGGACGCGACAGTTTAATGCTTCCAAAACACGGTACTGTACTTTGAGGAACAAAAAGCGTCCTAGCGCTCATCCGGTTTCGATGGACGGACGAGTTCTGCCTAAGAGCCATTCATTTCGGCTGGTCCAAGTCCAGATCACCTAGGACGTGATCTGGCACGAACACATCTCGTCAAAAGCGGCAGCTGCTGCGAAAAAGCTAGGCTAAGAAGTACTTTTCTCACTCTATACTATACTATATACTCTACACGTTTGGTGTCCTCCGGCAACAACTACATTATTTATGCTCGATGCTGCCCAGAGGAGGGCGGTCCGCCTGATCGATGACTGGCCGATACGACCGCTCCTTTGACCCGAGGGTGTTGAGATTGTGGAACAATCTACAAGAGGAAGCTTTTCCCAGTTCTACTAACCTTAGGCAGTTCAAAAATCGTATTAACAAAATTTCTTGGGGATCATCATAGCAGCCGCGGTGTTCCGGCATTTAGGCTTCTGCTTCGGTATCAAAAAAGCCCAACTAAAAAACGTATGTCTTTGAGCTTACCGGACAAACGTTCACACACAGGGGTAGGTTGCATGTGTATATATGAACGAGATTGAGATATATAAAGGGATACTGGTAGTCTTACTTTGACAAGGCACGAACGGTGACTACAATTATATATACTGATTGACACGGCGGTCAACAAGTCAAGAAGAAACATTGACAGGTCGAAATGAAATTTTTGTACAAATACCCCGTTTGTGCGAAATGTTCGCATTCCATCGATGTCTGGAATAGATTTATTTCTTTCAGATGATTCCTTCTGCGGACAAAAATAGATGTACATAATCGATTTTCGCAATTAAAAATGAGAATACCGTATTCTTTTGAAGAGAAAGTTGAGGTGGATTTAAAATATTCATCGTAATGTTCTCAAATGTTGACCTCATTCGTAAAGACCTTCGACTAAAACCCTCGAAATCCTTGTGTTTGAGTTTTTATGAGAATGGGTTCGGTTCCAGCATCGTCGAACATACTCTTACGTTGGGGTGTTGTTCGATGCCTTTTGTGTAGATTTCTACTGTAATCGGGGTACCGATCGTGCCGTCCCATTTGACATGAGCAGCATTAAACAAAGGTCGGAACTTGCGAGGGATAACACGCCCAAGAACGTTTAGCATTTCATTAATAAAGTGATAGTTATCGGTTATTATCAAGTGAAAAAACGGACGCACGATTTTCTCGATGTGGTATGTGTGTGAAATGCGATTATTGAGCAAGACTAAAATCTATTTAAATATAGGTAGTTGCGGAATATCGAAATTGTACAGTGCCAAATGTGTCCTAGAGTGGTGGGCTAGTATTTTATGTACCATGTACATAATATGTAACGATTTTGCTATTATGCAGTGCAATAACGTTCTTTTTTATTTTCAATGCGCTTCTTTTGAGTGACAGTGTCCTGAAGGATTAGATTTTAAGGAACCATTGAATAGAAAAATGGCCAAGGTTCAGTAAAAGTATTTATAAAACTAGGATGTTTGTGTTCTGTAGCAGAGCTTTGTATAAACATCCACCGACGATCAATGTAACTAGTAAGATGTTATTTTAAAAAGTTGTTTGTTTTAATGACCTTTATAAACTATTTCAGTATAAATCTGAATCAATAAAATTAATCCTATTGTTTTTTTCCTTGATTCGTGATTCATTTTGTTTACCCTGCTCAACTGGTATTACATGTATCCATTGGAAAATTGGCTTTGATAAAATGCCAGAATCAGAAGGGGTCATTTCATTTTTCTTTATTTCGCAAGATGATTTCAATTGTCCATCATCTAGCGCTTTTTTGTTTACTGCAGAACCAATGGTTTTGCTTACACTGTGTCAACCCAAGTGCCACACTGTGTAAATGTGCAGCATAAATGCACATAACTACACGATATATTTGGGTCCAGTGGGTTAGCTAGCCTCAGTGTAAGTATGACCATTAAAGAGCAGGTAACTACAATCTCCTTATCTTTAAAAACTACACTGATTTTAGGAGCGTTACATTAAAATTATCATTAATTGAAATGTAACAATTCTAAGCTGCAAATCGAAATGACTAGTCTGAGGAAACTGTCACGTGAAAGCAACTGCAAAACTAGAAAATTTGTCCAAGGTCAACAGATAAAGTGGAGGATAGCGATACACAGGAATGATAGTTAATTGCTTAAATGTTAATTAGGAAAATACTCATCAGCAGCAAATATACATACCTACATAGTCGGTGCTACAAATACTACAATACTACAAGGAATTTCTCAAACATCGCCTTCATAAGAATTATTTTCAATAGCTCTTGCAATAACCACTCTGATACACTGAGTAACATCTCCAGTTTTCTGAGCTTTTACGCAACTTGTCGAACATTTCTCTTTTACAAAAACAGATGATTTTCTGATTACCTAATGATCAAAAAACCATAATTTTTTCTTCACTTTTCACCGAAGAAGAGGTGAAAAGGTTTATTTTTCTTCAACACAAAATAAAGTTTTTTTTAAAAATTCTTATGATACAAGTCATTGTTTGGGAATTCACTCAGCTTACACCTGTAAATAGTTTGTAACTTACTTCCATGGCCTACAGTTGTCATTTGATCTATTGTACATAATAATTGATACATGAATGTTCCATATAGTTGCTTCGCTTGATCCTAGTTAACAAACCGTTTAATCCTTCACTTTATCTTTCATTGATGACATTGTAAATATTAAAGCACAATGATTTTAGATCATATGTGAAAGTTGTAATTATTTCTGTCAAAATGTATGGATTTTATAGTTTAATTATTGTGCTGCATGCATGAATGATATAGTCCATCAGTTTAATACTTGATATTCTTGAACATCATAGATTTTTATATTGAGAAATTTAGTTGGTTGAGATTCCTTTTATATCAGATTTAATTCGATGCAACTCAAATTCCTCTTTCCAGATTGAGAAGTTATAAATCAAATTATTACACTGCATTTTTTCGTTGGTGATGTTGTTTTTAAACAGACTTATAGGTCATTTTTTCTTTATCTTATAGATGGATGAACAATCTGTTTTACCTAGGTTGAACGAAAAATTTAAGAAATACTATTTCAATGTGCGAGTTGATTTTTGTTTAAAAATAACATTGTGACATCGAATTGGGGTTATTTTAATATTATTGTTCGGAATAACAAGTGTGAAACTGTTGGACAGTCATTGACCTATTGAAAAAATCAAAAAGAATTTGGCACAAAATGCCGCAATGCCAGCGGTATGCCGATGATATTCCAGCAAGGAAACAATTAAACAATTCTGCGTAGAACATTGTTCTGTTTTAAAATATTGTTTATTGAAGAATGAAAACTACGTAAGTGCAAAATAAAAAAAGGGGAATGAAGACTAAATGAGGACTTTTTACCTTTTAATGCTAAAGTGTTCATCTGTTAGTCAAAAAACACTTATCTCAAACTCTAGTTCCAAATAATCATCACCAATTTCTGTCTACACAGGATCATTCACACTCGAAAAAGTGAAGCCGTCAGTATTTGACGTATCTGCGCTTTCGCCCTTTTGTTAACTAGTGATAATATTCAGAAAACTATATAGATTATGCGACACAATGTGAGGACAATAAAATGAGTTTAACATATTGAATGAGATCGATATATCATGGTAATAGATATTGCTTGAATCTTACTGGGATATTAGAGTTTTTGTAGCTCCAGAATACGACATGTCTATTTAAGCCAGTTGTGAAACATTTATGCTAATTTTTATGGACGTCCAGGGCAATTATTTTTTTTACATACGAGATGAATCCAAACTGTTGCACGGTAGGATATTACTTTGTCATGTTAGTTGTCATTGTGACCATAAATAAAGATTTTGATTTGAAAAATATAGTCAATTCCAAATGACAATGTTCAATGCCAAATTGAACGACGTGAAACTTTGTTATCTCCAATTTATAATATTTTTTCAACTTGATTGAAAATGATCTTGATTGAATAAAATATTGATCTAGAATGTTTTTTTTTAACCATATTTTTACCGAGTTTCTCAACTGTTTTTCTTTATATAAAATATTAATTTTGCAGACACTGTCCAGATAAATGACGGAAAATTACATAGTTTTCAATTTGGAGTAGATTCGCGAGTCTACCACATAAAGAGGGGGAATAAAGCAGTATTATGTCCTATATAGTATATAGTATTATGTAAAGATGTTCTTATGGGAAATCGTTCAACTTCAGTTGTACAGTTTTTGAGTGTGGATGATCCTAAATGGGCAGCCTAGCAAATGTTAAAGGGAAAATGCCAGTGCTAAACTGCAAAAAGGAACCAAAAGAGCCTAAAAAGCACTAGTAGATCATAGAAAAAAATTGTGAATATTGAGTTAACTTCTTGAACTGGTATTTGGCAATTCATTAAGTAAGCATCTGTTGTAAAAAACCGTTTTCTATGACAGCTTCATAAAGAGTATCAAATGCCTGACTGGTCATTTTACCTTTAACAGAGTTTAGCAAATGTTAAATTATATGATTATATTAAAGAATACTATATGGTAGACAGCAAAAACCGTATATATTATATAGTGAGCATTGTCATGGACGTCAAAGCATTGTTTTGAACTGATTCGGTAACTCAGAGTAATTATAGCATATATTGTACGCGTACGAAAATTATGTTTAACGTATTTATTTTTGAGTTTTTTTTGTACAGCTGATAGGTACTATTGTTCGGCTTACATCAGTAGTCATTTTTTGACGTTTTCCATTTGAAAAACATACATACTGATTACTGTATTACCGTTCCCAAACCGGAAATTTCACCCAGCTTTTTGACTCTTGAACTGAATTTTAATGCAGCCTTACCATCGTATGTATGAACCTGAAAGAAAATTTTGGCACTGCCATGATAATTTTGGTATAGAGAAAACTTAGAAAGATGTGTAAAAATTATTATGGTATCAAATGTAATGGTAAACGACATTGAAATTAATTTCAAAGGTAGAAGGTCAGTTAGATTCAGGTCCCTGATCCTGACTGATTTCGATACCAAGATCATGATCCTATGAATGACAGACCCCTGGTCTTTCTTTATGAAAAAACAGTAATATGATTTATATTATCTTCTCATATGTAATCTGGGCCTAGTGCTTGAGGCTCTTGTCCACATTCATTATGTCGCTCGTCATATGAAAAAGGGGATAAAATCTACACAAGTTTTCCCTCTTACACAGCAGACGTCCATGAGCATTATTGTGATGATATTGGTGCTTGGGATCATATAATATGTGCACGTAATAAAATCAAATCTTGTACAGAATTACAATTATTTATTATTATATTATTTTGTACATTTTAATAGGATTATTTATTTTCTAAAAAATCAATATTTTTTAATTTAAACTACTACTACCTATCTATTTATGCTGAGTAGATGCTATATTTTCATATCAGAAGTAACCAAGAACATGGCACACATTCCTATAAACAAATGTTAAGAAATGATAATACTTAGCTAGTTTCCATAAAACTGTATAAGCAGAAAAATGTACTTGTGCAAAGGAGAACGAACATTTCAAGCGATTTTGAAACAAACGAAAAACTTGTCAGTGGAGTATGCAATTATTTAAAGTAAATGCAACTTCTACATAAAATTTTCCATGTATACTTTAGGTACTTGCTACATAATATTATTATAAACACAAATAATGCAGATTAATTCGGTGCCTCCCACAGATTAGTATAAATATTTTCAAATTATTTACACAAAATTTTCGATCAAAAATTTTTTGAATTTTTATATTGACTTTTGTTACATCTCGATCATTGGTTACAATCAGTTTTCGAAAATCCTTGTAATTATTTAAAATATGAAATACTGAAAACCCACGCTTATTGACGAGAGGTTAAGAGAAGAGATGCGAACCGCTGGGTTCAGTTACGTCATCAAATGCCAGACCGTTTGTTGCCGCGATTCTCCTAGCATCGCTTCGCCTCAATGGGCCTGCAACGTAAAGCTTCGTGTATGCACGTTTTCAAGTTTTAGCATTTATCACTACCCAGGTCTATAAAAACACGTTTAATTCAATACACTGCTAAAAACATCTATCGTAATAATAACAAAATCACTGAAATGATCGTTCTCGTTTGTTGCTTAAATTTCTGGTTTTTATCTTGTATTATTGCTAAATATCATAGTAACGTGGACTGATGTATAGTTATAGTTGTATAAATTTATCCAATAATACTAAGCAGTTTTGATTGTAAAGACAATGTAAGGAATACCGTACATAACTTCACTTTCTAAATATATGTACCTTTACCCACTTAAAATTCTTACTGCTGCTTATCTTTTCAACTGCATCAAATATTAAATAAAGAGATCTTATTGAATTTGAGTATCGGAAAATTGTTTCGTAGACTCTTATTGATGTAATATGGCGACTGTTAGCTTGAGGCAAGTAACTTCTTTAATACATTTACCTATTTTTTAGCTTTTTTAGAAATCCAGAATCACGTACCTACTAATGTGAGTGAAAAAAGTTACATTCTCCCTAAGGGTGGGACTTCTTAGCTGCCGAAAAACACTGCGGTGCGGGTTTTTAATGCCGTATGACGCTGTCAGTACTGCCATGTCATGCTATTAGCCTGATCATCTCTTTGTGCTTGGACGTTGAAAATCTAGGTTGATTGTACATAGTGAAGCACATATTTATAAAATATTTAAATTCATAGACAACTGACGTCCACGAAATACGACCTCTACGACGTTACCGCACAATTCACAATAGCTAGAAAAACTAGGATACTTATTGCCGAATCCGACAGCGGCAGCTAAGAAATCCTCCCTTAATCCTAAAAGATTACGGATACCCGATATTCCACTACGGAAGTGCTTGTCTCATTCAATCACGGCGGGTGGTGGGCCTAGGCTCAAACTAAATCACATGAAATAGTTAACTAAAATAGTATGTTCCCGCGCCCAAAAAATTTAGATACTTCTTTGAGAATTTGGCGGAACTGTGTTTCTCCTCTCCACCCTAATTAGAAATCTACTTGTGTGTCTCATAGATAGCGCTGTAGCCAAATAAATGCTGGATGCTAAGGAGAGAGGAAAGGAAAACATAGATGTTTCAAATTCTCATATATGACTACAGTATCTCATTTCATCTCGTATAATTTTTTGGACGCGGAATGTAGAATTATTATATTATATAATATTATATTAGTGACACAGAAAATGCAACACCGACTAGGAGCATACTTTTACAAGTTTTAGGTCTACTGATAAGTAGAAAGTGATTAAAATTTTATCTCGAAATTTCGTAAAATAGCTGAATAATGTCTTGAAGCTCCTCTGTACGCTACACGTTCATAAGTCGTCGCAGCATTGATTGGATTAGGTGATTGACGTCTTCTTAGTGCATTGGATCCCAGGCCATGTGAATTTGGTTTCATACAGCCTCCAGTGTTTGTGGAGGGCGCGGTGAATTTTGCAACCTCTTTCCCATCATGTCCCATACTTGTTCGATGGGGGAAAGGTCTGGAGATCGAGGAGACCAATGAAGCAGATTAACTCCGGACGCTTCCAAAAAGTCTAAACTCTAGCCATGATAATGCAATGAAACAAATGGAACCAACCCTGAAAAATCACTAAATATTGAGTAAACGTGCTCGGATCCTGATATGACAAAAAAGTGCGGCTCGGAATTACTTCAACATTTTATCAGCGTATACTTCCATGATAGCAAATATGTTTACAAGTGTTTAACAAAATTTAATATAATTCTGGGTGCGGCATTTTATATGTCACTTAATATAGTTGTAATATCTGTTTTCAAAGGTATTAAATTGAGTTTTTTTAACAGCATTTCTATTTGATGCAGTTTGATAGCTGATCTTTGCTGTACATACTTTTGTATAAAATTCCCAGTTTTTTATGGAAAAGAAATATGTTTTTATTAGGATTTATTTATTTTGTGGTCTGTCCTATTTATTTTTTAATCTTCCGCACATACTTCTGTAAACAGATTGTTTTAGACAGTGGAAAACTAAAAATTGTAAAACTGAATTTCTAGTTTTTGCATATATATGAAACCCAAGCCAATCAGTCTATATAAGAACAAAAATTGTGATTGTAATTAAATTTTAATATAATAAATAAATTAATGAAAAATGTTTTTTGTATTAGTAAATTATTAAAGTGACTCAAATTGTACATTTTTGTTTTTGTTCTGTAGCTTTTTATTTCTTTACAAGACGTGTAATACATAGTATTTATCTTATATAAATGAAAGCATACATCAGAAAATAAATCACTTTTCATTTATACCAATCGTTTTCCTTCCTTCTATATTTTACCATAATCAGATTCCACCATAAAAAATGGCGTCAATTTGGTTGTCTCGAAACTTCCTCCGCAACGTCGTCATCGGTCCATGAAGGATTTAGTTGAGAGCATGTACAATAGTCTAACAGGCTCATACGATTAGTCTATACGACATTATTTCCCTGTCTTACCGGTAGTTACCGTCCATCTGGCAACGTTGCCGCTTCCCGTATCGTCACCCGCTGCCATGCGGCAGCGCCCATCGACGCACCGCCGCCGTACTAGTAGATCGTTACGGGGTGCGCTGAGTCCAGATAGCAGAAAGAGACGCATATCGAAAACATTTCTCGTCATTTTAAGTTTTAACGACAAAAATGTATGTGCAATATAAGATATAATAACATCAAAAAATTGAGATATACGCTCTCCCACCCCCCACACCTTAATTTTATACCACAATTTTTTTTGGAAAAATGACGTTTGAGTGATTCATTTTTTCGTTTTTAGCCTTTGTCTCTTACTATACGAATTCCCAAAAACCAGAAAGCTTTTTCGACCTTGGAAGCGTTATAAAAAATTCTTCCTAATCCGAACAGTACTTTCCATGTTATGGACCGAAGTGAGTGACATGGTTTTTCGTGAAGTACATGTCATATAACATCCAAAAAACATCTCATTTTTCCTGATTACAATACTTCCTCGTTCAGTCGCGTAGAAAGTAAAAGTAATCAACGTTCATTAAACATATTGACACGCAAGTATGTAAGCAAAAAAATAATATTTGCTTTTGAGGCTTATTTTTGGAAAAAAATTGTTTTCAAAATTTGGGAACGGCTAATTTTATCCAGCAGAGGAAAAAAAGCAGCATGGCATTTAAAAAAAATAGGCATAATTTTTGCTGTAAAAATAAATTTCTTGTAAATTTGGCGGCATCGGAAACACGGGTAAACTTTGGGAAGCTCTTATTACCTCGTCCTAGACATTCTTATACGATTAACGAACACGTGTTTCCGTTCTATTTTGACACTGTCAAACATTTTAGGTTATTATAAATAAGGTTTCTTTGGTAAATAAGTACAAACTCGTATTTAATTGTTGTAAAGTGTTTTTCAGTGATTAATGGTTCGAAATGTCGAAATCAAAGATTCACAATGTTCGATTCTTCAATCCACACCCTAACACAATTCGCACAATGGCTCTTCATAACACTTTTAAAAAGCTGGCTGTTTGTAGGTATGTACAATAATAATCTTATTTTGAAGATATATCTTTTGAATATGATTTTTCTATGAAGCCAAAACATAAAGCATGCTCTTGCACGATTAGATGTATTCAAGAAGGAAATAAAAACATTTTTCAGGATTGAACGTTCATTGACTACATTTATTTTTTTATAATGGCGTTAAGCATTGTTGACTCTATAAACATGACAAACATGTGTTTCTCTATGTGTCCATTAGCATAATATGTGATATTCTAGATCCGACGCAAGTATAGAAATATGGAACTTGACAAGTGCTCCATTTCTTGAATGTACGATAAGCACTACAACAAGTAATTCATCTATAGAAGCTATATCATGGTGCTCCGACCAGCTATTCAGTGTTGGGCTACATGGCTTTCTTGTCCATTACAATCTAAAAAAACTTGCCATTGAAAACAGATGGGCTGTAACTGGTGGTGCATGCTATTGCTTGGATGTGAATAAAAGCAATGACATGTTAGCAATAGGCACCGAACAAGGCTACTTGAACATTTTTGCTGTTAAAGATGATGGCATATACTTTGAAAAATTTTTTGATAAGCAAGAAGGCATGATTATCTGCTTGAAGTTTGACTCTACTGGAAAGTTTGTTGCATCGGGCAGTACTGACACTGTGAGAGTTTGGAATGTTGAAACTGGTGAGTACTATGGACATAACTAGAACTATGCTGATAGCCTAGCAAAGTTTCAGTTAACTATTGCTATTAGTCAGTATTAGGGATGTGAAATTGGGTGAAAAAAATTGATAAACAAAAAAATGATCAACTTTTCAACTCATTCTAATTTTGTTTTTCAAAACGATTACACCACAATGAATATATATCCATTTGTAAGATGTTGAATTTTGGCACAACAATATTGGTTACCTCCTTTGAAACCCATTCTCATTGGTTACCTTCAGTTGCACTTAGCTGCTAAGAGTTGCAGGAAGTATGGCTTAGCCTAGTCTGGTGAAGACTATCTGTGTGGATTGCATTGGAAAGTTCTAAAAACTCTAAGCAACTGAATGTAAACAATGTATATATTTAATTTTTTCTGTGTCCAGGACATGCCTTACACAAAATGACAACAGGGAGGTCAGAAGCTAACAAACAAACCATAGTTTGGTCTATTGAAATGACTAGTGATTTTACTATAATCACTGGTGATTCCAGAGGAAAAATAACTTTTTGGGATGGCAAAGTTGGTTCACAGATAGAAAGTTATCAGTCTCACAAGGCAGATATTCTTGGCTTGTGTCTCTCCGAGGATGAAAAGACTTTGTATGCTGCTGGTGTGGATCCCACTATTGTTACATATGAGAAGATAAATGTTAGAGGTAGGTGTCAGATGAGTCACCAAATAGTGGTTGTGCATACAATTTTTAATTCCCACAGGAATTGGCACAAAAGAGTTGTAGCATCAACAATTTGGAAAATGTACAATTCAGAAAACTTTTTGTAGGGGTAGTAACTTGTGAGTAATAGGGGTGGGGGCTGTTAATGTTTAATATTGGATATCAGTGAAAGACATTCTATTATTAAGAAGCTTGTCATCCCAGTGCTAAGCATTATGTTGATCATATCTTCCATACATTTGCAACTGAAACATAACTCAGTAAGTTTTCATTTTATATGAGTCACTTGAATACACTTCATCCATTCTTTATTTGACGGTGACTTATTTTTGCCTTTTGTTATAATTACACAACAATTTATTGTATCAGAATCAGAAATTATAACTAACGCATGGGAATTGAGTCAATCTACTTCAAACTATTTTTTATAATTGAAGGGATATGTTCATTGAATAAGTTAACGTGGTTTTGGATTCTCAATATTTTCAATGCCTATAGAAACACAAAGATTTGTATTTATATATTATTCACATGAATATCAGTATTTTGATAGAAGTGTAGTATAAATGCTGTTGAAGCTTTATGTCTTACCCCCAATTAGTATTATTTAATTGTATGGTACAGTTTCTTCTAAGTTTGTTAAGTTTCTATATTAAAAAGTAGAATTATTATTTTTGAAGGAGAGAACCAGAAATGGGTGAAGAGCATCCAGAGAAAGATCCATGAACATGACGTGAATGCTTTAGTTCTGTATGACAATAAATTGTATTCTGGTGGAGCAGATAGCTATTTGGCATGTAGCTTCCATCCCCCAAAAACACTGTTGAAATACCCACCAATTCCTCAGTCTTGTGTACACCTAGCTAGAGAAGCAAGGTAAACAACCAATCAATAATTTCCAATACTTGAGAACTACTGGACTAGTCTTTATAGATGAAAGTGATAAAATTCTCACATATATCTAAGTATTGTTTTAGGTATATTATGTTACGTCACCCAGATCACATAGATTTATGGAGCTTAGGTCAGGGACAAGAGGTAGAACAGAATTACACAGGTCTAATTGATTTACAAGATGAGCCCAAAAAACTGCTGGTTTTGCAAAAGACTGTTAAAGATGAAGACAATGTTAAAGAGAGAGAAGGCATAACTTGCTGCTGTATATCTAATGATGGAAACTGGATTATGTATAGTACAAACTTGGATAGTAGATTGTTCAAGTTGAACAAGGTTAGTAGCTGAGCAGATTAATGGGAGTAGCAATTATGTTTCCTTGAAGCTTTGAAAACTTTTTGTTTATGGCTACAATCAAGACTGCTTATACTAAACCATTGATTCTACCTGGAGAGAGACAACCATATACTATAGTCCGGCGTCCGAACAGGGATATGAATGACTTTATTGCCATTTGTAAGATAGTAGCAGAACACAGAAAATAATTTACTTATTAGTTTCAAGAGAGTTGGAGTCGTTGGTTCTGTTGATGTCTCATAGATGGTGCTAGTACCTTCGCTTCCTTTTTTTGCCTTTATATTGCGTATTTTAATTTGGTTTCTTCAGGTAAAATACATTAAGCAGTGCCTGCAGGTACCCAGTTAAAATAGTGCTTGCCTCCCAGAGTAGCTTTGCAGATGGGTGTCTGACTTTTGGCCACAAGATATCCTTCGTAATTGACGGGTTCTCCTCTTCATCCCACAATGTCAACGCGTGTGTTCCCCAGGGAATAATCTTGCTCCGAAACTGTTCCTCTCACATATCAACGACGTGCTTTAATATACGATGACAGCACGCTACATGCAGGAATTCAGAGTGACAAGCCGATCTCTGCCGGTGAGCTGAAAAGAGGACTAGCAGCGACTTCCTCTCTGACGAGAGACCTGGAGGTTATCACTTTTTTGTCGCAACAATCTAGCACAATTTAATGCTTCCACCCAGCACTATACCTTGACGAACAAAAAACATCCTAGCGCTCATCCGGTTTCGATGGATGGCCGAGTTCTGCAGAGAGAAGTTCATTTCGGCTGGTCGTAGTCCAGATCACCGAGGACTTGATCAGGCACGCAGACTTTAGCTGCTAGGAAAAAGCTAGACTATTTGTTTAGGGCTAAGAAGTACTTTTCTCCACATGACCTCCTCACTGTACAAGGGCCATATATGGGGTTGTCCAAAACGGACGCAGGAAAGTAAACGCATATTAAAACAAGAAAGATTTATATTCAAATCAAGTTTAGTACTTTATTTTGAAGGTTCATTTATACCATTTATGTATGAAAAATAATATCGCTCAAATGTTCACCACGACTGGATTTACAGACGTCCACGCGATGGTCGAAATTTTCAATGACATTTTGAAACATGGTCGGTTCTATGGCATTTATCTCGGCAATGATGTTGTTTTTGAGTTCTTGGAGGGTGGCTGGTTTGTTGACGTAGACTTTGCTTTTCAAATATCCCCATAAAAAGAAGTCCAAGGGAGTCAAATCGCACGATCTTGGTGGCCATGGCACATTTCCTCTGCGCGAAATCACGCGATCACCGAAGAAGGACTGCAATCGATGGATATTGACGTTGGTTGTGTGGCATGTTGCACCGTCTTGTTGGAAATAAACATCGTCCATATCCATTCCTTCAAGTTGCGGCAAAAAATAGTCCTCTATCATGACGTGATATCGCTCAGAATTGACGGTAACGGCGTCCCCTGCCGCATTTTCGAAAAAGTAAGGTCCGATGATGCCTTTTGACCACAATGCACACCACACAGTCACTTTTTGAGGATGCATCGGCTGATCTTGATACTCACGGGGATTTTCGTTCGCCCAGATGCGGCAGTTTTGCTTGTTTACCGTCCCATTCAAAGTGAAATGCGCTTCGTCGCTGAACATGATTTTTGATGAAAAATTAGCATCAATTTGGCGGTGTTCAAGGAGCCAATCTGAGAACGTTCGGCGCGAAAAATGGTCAGCCCGACGCAGCTCTTGCGTCAGTTGGATCTTGTAGGCGTGTACATTCAAATCCTTGTGGAGAATGCGGAGCAAACTGGTTCTCGAAATGCCCAATTCTTGGGATCGACGCGTTGTAGATTGTTTCGGATCGTCTCTCACACTCTCCTTCACAACAGCAATATTTTCCGGTGTGCGAACGCTCCTTGGCCGGCCAGAGCCTGGCAGATTTGCCACAGAACCTGTTGCCTCGAATTTACGCACCAGACGACCGATGGTTGTTTCGTTTGGGCGGTTGTTACGACCGAAATGTTCACGAAGCGCGCGAAACGTGTTTTTTATTTTTGCACCATTTTGTAGTGCTCCTGAATAACTTTAATGCGGTCTTCAATAGCGATCAATGGTAAACATTCAACTAACAAAATGACATGTCGGTGACAGAAAACAAAGATGGCGTCTATGTCAAATTGACGTTTACTTTCCTGCGTCCCTATTGGACAACCCATTATAAGACCTAGCCTCGAATATTGCTCACACGTTTGGGGTGCTGCCGCTCGGCTACATTATCCATGCTCGATGCTGTCAAGAATAGGCATTAGAGGCGAAGTAAAGTAATAACTGGCTCTGTTCATAGTAGATTTCTAAATTCATTTGCCACTGTCTCCTAGAGGATGCTAGTATCTTTCACATCCCTTTTGGATGCCAGAATACAGTACATGGTTGGCTATCTTCAGGTGGAATATATTAAACAACGATCAAACCCATTCTTTTTTTTCAGGACGAGAATAGTTTGACACTAGATAAAATTGAATTATCTTGTGGGCCTTGTATACAAGGGGTATTTACACCTAATAATTCCCAACTTATTACGTGTCCAAATAGTGGTGGATTAAATGTGTATGAATTAGCTGATAGTAAGGCTGAGTTAAAACAAACGATCGAAATTGAAGGTACTTATATAAATACAAACTTTAAAACATGTACAATTTGAGTAGGAGGATCTTGTTTGATCATCTGATGCTGATTGTGAATAGACCAAAAATTATTATGTATTATGTGAATGTATTTTACCAGTGCTAATACGGGATTAATTTTTCGCGCTAAATTATACTTCAGAGAACATAAAAAAACGTAATTTTCAGAAATCAAGGACACCATAACATTTCTCCAGATATCCTCATGTGGCAAGTACATATTAATTGGTGATACATCAAGCAATATAGTATTATGGACATCTACCTCCAAAAGAAAGATATGGACATCACACTGTAAACTGCCCAAATATAAGTTTCCTGCAACCGCCATGGCAATGCATCCCAAGACGTTGAATTTAGTCGTTTCTTACTCTGACAGTAAGGTATGGCAAAATGTTTAAAAAACAATTGATAGGGAATTAAAGATTCCTCATTTTCACTTTCCACTCGAATAGACGGAAACGGTATTGTAGCTTTGAAGTTTACATATTTAAAAATAGATTTTTATTACTGCGTGGAAGATGCTCAGACAATCTACTTGACTCCATTTTCCCTTGCATATATACTTATTAAAATGACATTAACCAGGGTATCAATAAGTAGGGAACTATACTAAGTGACATATAAATCCGAACACCCAGTTTAAATGGTTTTATTTTAATAAAATTTTGTATAAGTACTTAATGAAGCATAATAAGTAAATGATAAAAATTTCGAAATGATTGCACTGCTTTAAAGCCCTTTGACCTTTAATAATGTGTGGATGCACCCTGATGTGCTACGCATTCTCCAACGCGCCTAGGCATGCTTCTGATCAGGTGGTCAATGTCCTCCTGTGGTATCTCATTCCAGGCAACCACCAACTCCTCTCGAAGTGCTTCTAGAGTCTGAGGAGGACGTTGCAAATTGAGCAATCTCCTACCCATCATATCCCACACGTGCTCAATTGGGGATAAGTCGGGAGATCTTGGTGGCCATGGTAACAATGTGACATCATTATGTTGAAAGAAGTCTATTGTGACTCTTGCAACATGTGGTCGGGCATTATCTTGTTGGAAAGTTGGATCTGCCAGGGTGTCAAGATAGGGTAAAAGATGGGGTTCTAGAACTTCGTGGATATAACGCTGCGCGTTCATGTTACCTCTGATGAAGATTAAAGGTGACCTGGAACCATAAGCTATAGCACCCCAAACCATAACTCCAACAGTGTGATGAACATGTCTTTCAACAAAAAACTGTGGATTCCTCCTTTCACCACGTCGCCTTCTAACCCTGGCACGACCATCGTGCATGCCTAAACAAAATCGAGACTCGTCACTAAAGACAATACTGTTCCATTCCTGATCCCAGAGTGACCGTTGTCTGCACCACTCAAGGCGATTATGTCGGTGTTCTCGAGTTAAAGGGAGGACCCAGTGGGGCCGGTATGAAAACAAGCCAAAACTTCTCATTCGTCGGTAAACACTTCGCATGCCAATAAGTCTTCCGTGTTCTGCAAACCATTCATTTGCAATGGACCTGGTAGTGGAGAAACGGTCCCTTAAGGCCAATAATCTTAGGCGGCGATCTTCGCGGTCTGTTGTTCTACGGCGGCGTCCAGTGCCACTTGCTCTTTGCGTACGGCCTTCTCGAAGCCATGCCTGACAACACCTAACCACAGTGTCTACACTTCTTTGCACTCTAACTGCAATTGCCCGAAAAGAAAGTCCAGCTTCCCGAAGTCCCACTATACGGCCCCTATCAAACTCACTAAGTTGACGAAATCGTACAAGTCTCCGTACTCTAGGCATCGTAACCGATCGTAAAGGATGTCAAGAACCAAAATCCGCCAACGTTGATTCTTTACTGCGGCTGAAATATTCATTTTTAGAGCGTTAGTGAATTAAAAAAAAGCAGTATAAAAACCGGAATGTCCAACTGATAAGGCTGAAAATTTTTTCACTTGTTATTTACAGAAAGATAAATACATTCACCAACTTTTATTAAAATAAAACCATTTAAACTGGCTGTTCGGATTTATATGTCACTTAGTATATCAAAATAAAACACTGTATCATGACTTCCATGATCAGTTGGCTGCTTTTGCTGGTTAAACCAAAAAGTAGTTATATCAAGAGGAGGCACTTCGTCGAATGTCTATAATCCGCCGTCGGCCCCATTGACCTTGAGAAAGCTGATCGTAAATTTTTTGTTACATCATCGCGTTCTGATATGATACGATACACAACTAGTCAAATCTGACGTATTATGATGCTAAACAGCAATCTTGCAGAGTTGTTACAATTCCAAACAGTCCTTGGCTACCGATGCGGTGTTGCCAAACTGCCATAAAATATTTATAAAACGCTACATTTATACTAATCAGAATAGATTTCAGCTCCTTTCACAGTTTTTAGTGATTACGTCTAAAAGTCATACAAAATAAATAGGCATAGGGTCAGGCTGTCTAGATAACTGTTGACCATGTCAAATAGACCGGCGATTGGTCAGATAAGCACTTTGCGGTTAATTTTATTCGCATTGTCTACTATCTTCTCTTTATATATTTTCACTAATCTTAACAAAGCCTAATCTTACGCCATATGGGGAATGCTAACATCCTTAGGTTAAGCTAGGTGGACTATAAATCTGACATAAAAGTGGTCTACCTAGTCAAATTAATAATGGAATGTGTTCGTATTAAAATGGGTATTTTTCTATTTCAGATCATAGAGTATGATGTGATAAAACGGCAATACACGTCGTTTTCGGAAAAGCTTTCAGGGTTAGATTTCAAATCGAAGTTTTATCCTATTAAAACCATAACTTTTGATCCCAGAGTAAAAAGCATCATAATCTTGCATGACGATAATAATCTTCATATTGTAAACAAAGAGAAGGTAAGAGTGAGAGTCTTTGATGTTACAAACATATAATCATAGTAATGCTAGGGTCAAAAGTACATGCATTCAGAATTTGTAAACGACGGAAATGGACTTCTCATAACCTGCGGGAACAGTCCGGGAGGTGATCACGTTGAAAACCTGGCAGATATTGAAAAAACAGTATCGGAAATGAATGAAAATTATTTTGTATTTTGAAGTTACTATCTTAAACAATAGGATCAGAACCTTGCTTACACTACCTTTAACTGATAAATGTTTCCGAGGTTCCCTTCACGAAGTTAGCGAAACCATGCCACGGATTTTATTTGAGTTGGGTATCTTTTAAGCATGACTCCGTCTTGTTTGAATTCCTTCAAGTTTTGATAATGTTTAGGTAGTTTGTATCTTTATTTTTTAGAAAATCGTGATGAAGAAGAAAAAAGCTAAGATTGAACAGAAAGAAGCTAGTCCAAAAGCTGTCAATGGCATTGATGTTACAGCAACCAAGGTCGAGGTGCATACCTTGAAAAAATACAAGGTAAATGTTTTTATCAGTATTCGTGGCTTGCTCATAATGTAACTATGTGATCTTTTTCTGATTAATGTCTTGCTTTCAGCATCTGGTACATTTTGAATGGCTTAGCGAGGATGAGATGATAGCTGTAGAAGTGAATCCCTTGACACTATTTGAAAAGTTACCACCTGCATTTGCTCAAGCAACTTTTGGGAAGAAATAGTGTTATATATTTTGACAATAAATTGTTTTTCTCAAATTTTTAGTTTTAATTGTTAGTACCATCCGTTATAGAGCTTTTAGTAGAAGGAATCAACACGAGAAGACTTATAATTTAATACCAGGACTTAATTCATAGAATAAAAAAGTAAAAAACAAAGCATGAAGGAGACATGGGGATAAAAGTCCTCAAAAACTACTAAATAAATCCTCTTTGGATATGAGACCATATTTTGTGTAAATATACAGCTACAGAGCACAACAAAATTACGTTTTTTGCTGAGACAATGAGATGGAGAAATGAATAAATGACTCGTGTTTTTGACTTTCGACCTTGTTGATTTCTCAATCTTCAACCACAAGGGTGAACTTTAGTAGGAAATATTGGCAAATGATAAACATAGTTACAAAAACTAATCTAGTGTCTTAATTTTACGTCTGATTGATGTTTCAGTCGACTGTGGTTGATTATCATAGGTATTGTGACAAATAGCGCCATCTGTTGGGCAAGTCTCCTACTCGCCAAAGCTTAATTGCCGATCTCTGCTTTTACGCGAACCACGATCGAACAAGCCGCCTGGGTCATCTGTGAGGACCATGACAGTGGATCGCCTTCCGGATCGACGTGAAGTGATCTCCAACATTCTAGATGTCGTTTTGTGGTACACCCGGTGACCCGGTATTCCTCGAAGCGGTAACTGGGACTATATATAACTCGGCGGCCGGGAGATGGAGGCAGATTACGGAATACGGTAGAGTAGCAGAGCGGATAGAAGTATAGTGCAGTCAATGGTGACATAAGAATTAGTCAGACATAAATAGTGGTGCATATAAATGTTTTATCAAGTTAAATAAATCAGTGCATTTCATTTTGTGGAATCCAGTGTTTTAATCCACACTCAAAAGAACCCAGAAAAACGCCACAATATGATGGCTCATGCTAAACTTCGCCCAAAAAAGACGTTATCATTATTCTATGTGAGAATATGCCTGTGACAAATAAAAACAGTTTTCAAGAGCTTTGTTTTTAGAAAGGTGCCTCCTTTTTAAATCAGGAGCGGCTTGGATAGCCAATTTTTTCCACCTGTTTGACGCATCATATGATTGTTGTGTTACGTCGAAAATACGCAAGTTTGTAAATCCGGGCGAAACGATTAGCGGAGAAGTACTGACAGCAAATCGACGAAATGCATCTGAAGCTCCGACGTATGTGTCCTAGATCCAACATGAAGTGGCCAATTCACCTTCACGACAACGCTCGGCCACACGTCGCACAACCGACCCTGCAAAAGCTGAACGAATTGGGCTATGAAACTCTGCCTCATCCACACATTCGCTGGACCTTTCTATAAGTATGACGATGCCAAAAATGCGTTCAATGATTTAATCGCCTCCAGAACTCCGGATTTCTACGTTAGCGGCATAAATTTTCTCGTTGTTGAAAGTGTACTGATTCTGATGGTTTTTATTTTGATTAATAAAGTTTTGTTAAACCTGAGATACGCTCCTTTGAATTCAAGGTTAAAAATCGCAAGAACTTTCCGAACACCCTAATAAATTAAAGTTTATTGTGTACAACTCTACTCCAAGATAAATATTTGTTTGTAAATTGTGTGGTATGGGGAGATAATGAATTAACACTCTGAATGCATAATAGTAGGATTTTACTAAATAATATAATAGTATACAGGACAGCACTGTACGGTAAAGTAATATAAATTCTTTTCTTAGCGGAACAAGACTAAAACTTAAATAAACATATAAAAAATATCACAATCCACATCAGAATGCTAAACGTAAACTGTGTATTTGTTACCCGGTACTTCTGATAGTCAACCAAACACATTGATAAACTTAATAGTTACGTGATGATATACCAAATACAAATTAAATTGTCGAATAATTTAGAATGAATAACGCTTAACAATATTAACTATCATGAAGTTTTAATAGATGTTTGGATAAGTGACTGTGCATAGCAGTTTTGAAATTGCACTTTTTACATTCATATATCTTGCAAGTAATTGAAGCAATAAAACTTGGATGTTTCCTAATGACATGATCATCCAGCCCCTGTTTACTTCTAAATGTTGCACTACAATGGTTGCATGAGACCGGCTTTAGCTTACCAGATACCTCAGGATGTCTTAACAAATGTCTATCTAAACACCTACTCATAGTTGTTTTGAAAGAGCACTTTTCACATCGAAATATTTTGCTAATAACTGATGAGATGAATTTCGGGTGCTTTTTTAATATATGGTTATCAAGAGCAACCCTATATTTGAATGTGGCATCACAGTGTTTACAAGTGTTATACTGAAAACTAGGACTGTCTGTTTCATGTTTTAACATGTGTTTTTTAATGTGATGGATAAATGTCGTTGCAAAATCACACTGTATACATTTATATATTTGGGTAGTCACCGATTCGCTAAATTCTGGATGTTTCTTTAAGATATGATTATCTAATGTAATTCTATTTCTTAAAGCTGCGTTACAGTGTGGACAAGTACTGAACTTATAGTCAATCGTCGTTTCAGGGTGTTTCAAAATATGCCTGTTGTAATCACTGTTGATAGTCGTTTTATAAGAGCACTTTCTACATTCGTGTATTTTGCTAGTAACTGATGAACTAAACTCTACATGTTTCTTAACTATGTGATCATCCAGCAGCTGTTTACTATTGAACGCCCCATCGCAATGCACGCAATTAACAAACTTAAAACTACTAGCTGTCTCAGGATGCTTCACAAGGTGTATGCTCAAATGACTACTTACTGTGGTTCTATAATCGCATTGGGAACATGCATGTATTTTGCTAGTAACATACTCAATAAATTTTGGATGTTTTTTCAAAATGTGGTCGTCCAAAGACATTTTACTTCTGAATGTCATGTTGCATTCTGGACACACGCTGAACTTATAATTATCAGATGACTCTGGGTGTTTCAACAAATGTCTACTTAAATATTTCCTTATAGTCGTTTTAAAATCGCATTTTTTACATGCATGTACTTTGCTAGAGACTGTTTCAGAAAAACTTGGATGTTTTTTCAATATGTGATCGTGCAGTGCTATCTTGGTTTTGAATGACTGATCACAGTGTTCACAGTTACTGAATTTATACTCTGAAGCTGTGTCAGGGTGCTTCAACAGATGATTTTCAAATGCAACTTTCACTACAGTTTTAAACTCGCATTTCGGACAGTTATGTATTTTGAAAGTGACAGATGAAATGGAATCTGGGTGGTTTTTTACGATATGATCGTCCAGTGTTTTTTTCTGTATGAATGTCATGTTACATTGTGGACAGATTCGGCAGCTTTTAGAAGATATCGCAGAGTTGCTTGTGTCACTCTCATCTTGTATCTCCGGTTCTTCCTTTATATGGATAGCATCCAAGCATCGCGGTTCTTTCCTATGAACAATAATATCGATAAACAATCTTTATTGATTGAAAAAGGTATAACAATGAAAATCAATTTCCGGAAAGCGCAAAGATTAGCTTTCATCGTTTCATCCTCAGAAGAATAGACTATTTCATATAATTCTGACGGATCCGTCAACGGCAGGTAGACAGAGCCGAATTTTGTTTTGGTTATTTGTATGCTACAGATTTATTTTGTAATTGCTCTTTTATTTAGAAAAGTTCATTTGCATACAAAAGCAAAATGCGGCAAAACAAGTTTTACAAGATTTATATCTGATCCATTATTGCCAGACTAACACAAAAGTGTCACTTGTTGATCAGTTGTTCACCTCAGTAGACGTCATATTCCGCTTAATCCAAAATATTGCACTAAACTATCTTATGAAATACAATACATAGCAACATAAAAACGCAGCAGTTTCAAAACAATGTTGTAACTAGTACATATAAAAGAAGGTATGTGAGAATGATACAATACAAATTTGGTCACAGAGAAAGAGGTAGAAGAAATGGAAGAATATATACAGGGGTGGACTAGGACGATAACTCTATTGTTATGCATAGTATCTAATAAGGAATTATGCTCCTTACTTCCAATCATATATTTTTTAAATACAGCAACCTACATTTTATTACAAATTTGGAGTTTCATCAATCAGTTGTACTACGAATTTTGAAATAACCAGGCACATAAATAATTTAACATACCCCTAAAGTCAAAATGTATCTACAGAGAGTGCATGAATCATGTTCAAGAAGGTTTTCATCTCTCTGAATGGTTAAGCAACCCTTTTGAGAGCAAAATGACAATTAATTCAGGTCATCAAGTGTTTTTTACCAGAATATAGCAATCTTTTTTTTACCATTTTATTGAAAAATATAACAAGCTTAGACAACTAGAGGGGGGGTGTGGCAAGCCACCCTTGTTCATTAAATCTTGTTTTTTGAAGCATTAAAAGTGTACAATGTAAAATGGCCTTCCTACTCATCTGCATTTAAATGTATATGTAATATTTGGTGGGCTGATAAACACTTGAAATGAAATGAACATATGTTTTTCATCTTTAATAAATAAATAAGGTTGCTTCTAGGGGCAGTTGTCAACTGGTTAAGGTATGATTTGTGGAAAATAATATTTGCATATAGTTACTTGAATTTTTATTTGGACATGCAGATATTTGTGTTTTGATTTTGATCAGTGCAGTGATAGATTCTGATAATAGATGGCACTTGTACTGACATACATCTGTCTTTAATAATATTTGAGTTTGGTATAAAACAATTTTTTTTCTATTGCAGAAAAATTGCATGCTTACAAAATCAGTCAAATGGTATGTGGATGGAGCACTGCTACTGGATGAAAAGTTAAACAAAAACATTTATGAATAATGACACATTTTAAAAATATTTAACACAATTTTTCACATATTTATTTCTTGACCTACATTTTATTACATATTCAGACAGAACCTTTTAACATGATAAAATTGATATGATCAACCCTCAAGTTTGGGAGTTTGTGAGTTCACCACTTAACAGACATTAAGTTATGAGTTAAAATATTTTCTTCATCTTTGGTTTCTAGTAAATCTATTAATTGATTTGAAATTATCAGTTATTAATAAGCAAGCATTAATTGATTAAAAATGGTAAAATGATAATCATTTTTTTTAACATTCCTAGTAATATCTATAATTGTATATTAACACTTGATTATTACCTTTTCAATAACTCCTCATTATTTACATCTGTTCTGCTTTCTTGCCCCACACCAATCCCTGTTTTAAATTGTGAAACATCACAATATTTAGGAGTTGCATCTAATTCTGGATCTTCCTTCTTAATTTTCATCACATGTTCACCTAGATTTTTTGGAAAAGCAGAATCCCATTCTTCAGACTCTACCTTAATCCTTAAATATAAGAGATCATGATAGCTGTTATTCAAAAACCTTTTGATAGCCAAACAGTTTCCAAAAGTCTATTTATTCATATCAAAATAATATAGCATATATTTATGTAAGGTGCTCTAATTCTCCAATTTGTCTTGTTTTGAATATTACTTTTATCTACTATCAGTACTGCCAGAAAACCTTAAGTGCCTTTCCTTTAATGAGATGCTTGGATGATAGCATACCTTACATACTCAGGTTGGTCCAAATTGTGTTCGGCAGCATCATGATGCATGGAGACAACATCTGCTTCATTATTAACAGCAAATTCCTGTTCAATCTTAACTGCAACTGGCAAATCCATAGTGAGGCCAAAGTGGCGTTTCTTGTTTTCTCTTGTCCCTCTGATGAATGTAGCACAATAACCTTTCAACCAATTTTTAATTGAAATTCCAAATCCTTAAAAAATGGGATGGTTGTCACAATTATAATCATCGTAGAATAAAATTTATGCCCGAATGCTAATTTGAAATCAAAATTCAATAATATACTTTAATTGTTGATTTTTTGACGCTGACAAAAAACACAACCCTAAAACAGCTGGGAGTAACGTAGAAGAGACAACGATCTGCGACATCTAGGACGTAACATCCTGAAGCGAGTGTTGCGCTGTTGCCACGCTTGAGCTACTTTTGCCTGAACTCTACTGGTGGACTATGTGACCATACTTTTTTAGGGCTACGGCTAGTTCGTTTCACGTTCAAAAAAGATTTCATTGTGCTATGTAAGTGTATGTGAGTAAGCTCACAAAAAGATGCATTTTATCTTATTTTTCGACGATGAAATTTCCGAAGTATCGAATACTTCCATAGCTCCATTTAGATATCGATCAGTATATCGACTATCGAACTTGCACCATCATACTCGATAGTCGATATTTTTTGACAACAGGAAAGTCGACGTCAGTGTATATGTTTTGTGGTCGACGTCTCCAATTTCCATTTTTTCAATACACACCAAAAATTTTCCCCTCGAATATTTCGTTTCAAAATTTAGGAGGGTGAGAACAAACTGTAGACATGAATATTTATGGTTGATTTGTTCAGTCGTGCTGCTAACGTTAAGAACTTTTCTAATGTATACAGGGTGACTTTGAAGTTGAGTCATTAATTTTCAGATAATGATTGTAGAAGGAAGATAAACCAAAATATGTGTGTAAAAATAAAAAAAAAATTTACCTTGTTTTATAAAGTATCCTCTCGACAAGTATTTCAGTGCGGACCTGTATTTGATCGTGAGGTCCCCTGTGAGGTCTTAAGTCACCTGATTCACGAGCCCGTTGTACTACATTAACAAAGGCACGAGGGGTTGGTTGCACTCGATTGGGAAACCGATCCGCATAAACATGTGCCATTTTTTATTTCGTTTGAGCCACGTAACAGACACTATTCACACGCGACTGACACTGACTGTATGTATAACTGAACTGAATAAAATAATTGTAAAAACATCGTTCCAAATTCTTTCGCTTTTTTGTTTCCGATGCGATGAACCGATAAGGTGGATTATATCCGTTGTTGCCAAACACGAGCACATGATATTATTATTGAGACAGGGCGGTACTCAAACTTCCAAAGGGCTATAACTTTGTTACTTTAATTTTACCAGAAAAATGGTAAAGGAAAAAACATTTCTTTTGATCAGATCTACTCACTGTTAAAATAAATGACTCAACTTCGAAGTCACCCTGTATATCGCTCATTGAATGCAGAACTAGCTCAAGTCACAAAATGCTAATTTTACAGGAGATCATTTTTTCTGATTTTGTCTTAAACGTCTCGCAAGTCTTGAATGAAAATGTGTTCATAATATGAGTATACTTGCATGTGTTTTGCTCTTTTAAGGATTTTTTTATTTAGGCTTACAAAACCGAAATTTGTGGACTTAGGATACTTGTCTTCGTGGAAGTTGTATCCTATGTCCACATAGGATAAGGTGTAGTCATAATATAAGTAACTTAGGCTAGTTCTGACCCATGTTTGTATCTATACCTATATGTACATTCAGCTTATTCAGTACAAAAATAGAAACGGGAATACGTTGAAAACATTTATTGACAACTAAGCAGTCTTATTATACAGGTACATAATATTATAATTAACTACCAAAACATAAACGAGGCATTCAGGCAAACGATGGACAGTGCTCAAAGTAATAACAGGAAACAAAAATTATAATTCAGTATCCCCACCAGATCAACTATTGCTACCTAATATATAAAAAAGTGGTAGTATTAAGAAACTTTTTGTAACAGAAAAATGATGAACTTCTATTCTGAGTCGTCTTCCCTACTTACGTTGGAATACTGTAAGTTCTTGTAGAAACTGCGGTACCGAGTAGGTATAGTCCCCTTGTCACATAGGAATTGCAGATGATCATACTTTTTTTGCTGATCGAGATAGCACCCTTGTAACATTGCTTTAACTGTATATTTTTTAGATCAAGATCAATTGTCCTCCTGCCTTTTGTTAATAAATCAATTGTTCTGAACGGTTCATTGTAGTCGTATTTGAATAAAAATTTATTTGGAAATTTGAGGGTTCCCTCTAAAATTCGTATTTTATTTATAGAAACCTTCTCATTTTCCACATCACGATCCCAATTCAAAATGGTATCCTTGGCAAGCGCTTTCAAATCAAAAAAATTCTCTTTGTCCATCTCAGTTACTACATACGGTTTACTTCTTTTTGCCCTGCGTACTAAAGTATACCATTGATCAGGGGTAAATAAAGGGATAAGCTTAGATGCTCGTTCAATTACACTATGCATCGAATCCCCTTCAGTTTGCGTATGACCTTTCTCCAAAAATGTATGCCTTATCACAATATTGTGCTTCTGTGCTAATAAGCTATACGTACTAAAAATATATTTGTTTCGATTTTGACCTGCACAATTGTCGGAATAGAAAGAAAATTCTCTCGTATCTTCATGTACTTTGAGGTCGATAAAACGCATCAAACAGCTGCCTATTTCTGAGCTTCCCCTTTTCCCAACAGACTCGTACCACATGTAACAATGTCCTTCAGAATTTGCCAACTTAAAAATCGTGAAATTGTATGTTGATAATTTAAGTTTGTAATATGCCATACCAACATTACTTTTGGGGAGAGGCAGTATTTGTTCCAAATCAAAAACGGCTGCACAAAATTCTCTATTTTGCTTAGCCGTCTGTTTATCAGCATTCTTTAAATCCCGTCCAATGTGCTTGTTCTTTCTGTGCAACTGGTATTCTTCTTCCATTTCAGTTCTTTCTTCTGCTGTTCCGCCATCATACTTGTTGCAAATATCATACAAATCTTTTTTAGGGATGAAAAATGAGAAGTTGAATTCGGTGTTGAAGATTATTCCGTAAATGCTTTCTGTCGCAGGTTGGATGTTGTTCTGCTCACAGTATTCAAGATAAAGGCCATACATCTTCGAAATATTAAGCGTTGGTGGCAGAAATTGCTTTGAAGTGTTTTTTCGGCAGTAGTGACTCTCGACTGTTTAGAATAGATTAATGTGGTCCCTCACTGACTGCTTTATTGAATCACTCAATTTAGAATTCTTGCATGCCTTACCACACCGCTCTGCCCCGACTATACCGGTGCTACCCATTTTTTTTGAACACTGTCTTAATGACCTGGGCGCTTATCCCTAAAGTATTCATAAAAAAAGTTTTACAGGCCGCTATTTTATCTCTCAAATATCTGTTTCCTCTCTTCTTCTGTGAACTTTTCGCTGCACTTTTGTCTGCAGTTAGTACAAGGAGGTTTTGGTTGCCTTTTTGGACGGAGGTTTCCTCTCCAGTCTATATACTTCTCGCCAAGATTCCGCAACTTCTTTATTTCATTTCTTCTCTATGCACCCGGATTTCTCTGTCTCTTCCATGTATTTTTCTTGGTTTTCATCGGCTCATTTTTATCATCATGTTCTGATGAGTTTTCGATATCATCTGGATCTCTACTGTGAGTTGAGTTTTTCCTTAATGTTGGTATGTAGTCCATGTCATTGCTATCATCACTGGTGGCAAATGGGTCAGTCTCACATTCAAAAGGCATACAATCATTCCCTATAGTATTTGAGGATTTTGATGTGAAGTCAGTATTTTGTAGAACAGTTTTCTCATATGTATCTCCACCGTTCAATTCAACTATAGCGGGACTAATGATCTTAAGGATTTCATTGGATGGAAATTCCTCAATGGTTACAGAGGATTTTGTAGGATGTAAGTTGAACTTTCTCAAGGCATCAAAAAAAGAGGAGGCTGTTGGGTGATACTGTCCTGCATCAGTTGAGCTATGCTTCTTGCCGAAGAAGGTATTTTGGGAACATCATCAGCTTGGTTGTTAGAAGTTGTTGATCCCCCATCATCTTCTTGTACATATTCTAGAATCAAATTGGACATTATAAATTAACAGAAAGCAACACGAACGAATGTGGGAAAATTTTTGAGATCCACCTACAGAAAATAATAGTCGGGCTAATAATTGTTTAGCTATAATCCTATAACCCAATCAGTTTTTCCTTCTTATTCCTCTTCGAGTCACCCTCAAATCGTCTTTTGTAGATTATAACTTTATAGTTTATACAGTATCGAAGTCTAATGTCACTTGCTTTCTGTAATAGCCTCTCCAATTTTTTGTTTGGCATTCGGAGTAAACGATGTAGATGAGCTCCTTTTCTCTTGATGTTGTATGCCTACAAATCATACCCATACATAATTAGGAAATTATTAAAACTTAATTTATTGTCTCACCAGCCTTCTGATTTTTTCGGGGCCAACATTTGTATTATTTTTAAAGTTGTAGAATTCATTGTGACCGCGATATACAAAATAATATCGCTACTTTTAAGGAAGTTACCGTATTGCAGAAGTATTCTATGTCCACAGCTACTATGTACTTGGTATACAAATGCTAATACAGAACTAGCTTATGTCCATACAAAGCATAGACTTAGCATACGCAACCGCCAAGGGATTGTTCTGCACTGAATCTCGGAACGCGTCGCAAGTTGGGATATTTGCATAATAGACGCGGTAGAGGGGATAACGTGTTGATATTATAGGCTAGTTCTGCACCCAAATCCGGCATGGGCCGTAGCATCCCATGGTGTTGTTAATGCAAATTCGGCAAAAATGGACTTGGGCTAGTTCTGCATTCAATGAGCGATATGCAACCCTTGTACAATACAGCTGTTTCCTTGATGTGGGACTGTGATATTTTCCTTAAATTCCATTGAAATTTCTTAATCAGCACAATGGAAAATGATCAAGAGAAGATCCATGAAGGTCATATGCTATTACCAGGAAAGACTAGAAAAATATGCAACCAGTGGTAGTGGTGAAAAGGTAGACATTAATTTTGTAATCTGCACTTTTTCTAGATGTTAACTTGCAGCTCTTGTACACGTTAGGGGAACTTAAAAAACTCCCTATCAAAACTACACATCTGGAAAATACTGGTGTTGGCAGAACTGTAAACGGCTTAAAGAAATTAGGTGGAGATGTGGGAGAAGCTGCCAAAAACTTGGTTACATTATTGAAAGAAATGGTAATGCAGGAAGAACAGGCAGAGAAAGAGGCACAATCAAATGGTTGGTGATTGTTATACTTACTATAGTTAGGAATTGCACATGTTGATTTAGTGAAACTTGCTTAGGGTACCCCATCCCTGCATCCTATTTATTTTCCCAGAATCTTATGTTTCGGCCCTTATCTACAGTCCTTGTGCACAACTTAAGTTTGTGCTTTGAAGCATGAAAAGTCTTAATTCCAGATATATTGAAGGAATATAACCAGCAACAAAAATTAAGCTTGAGACCAATCTCAGCATTTTATTTAATTGTTAAAACATTCAAATGTTTTTTGTTACCTGTTTATTCAAATTTTATTAAGGATTTAAATGATTGTGTCCAACGAACAACTGATATCTTTAAACATTTTTGTATCGCATACTTGTATATATTTTAGTTAGGATTCTTTTTTTGTAGAAATATTTTATAATTTCCTTATAGAAACAGCTTAAATATTATCTTGGACCTGATCAAAACATCACTTTTCACAGACACTATAATTCATTAGTCATCTGTCTTCCCAGTTACAGTTTGTTTTTCTGCTAAAATACAGTATCTTTTAACAAGAGCCTGAATGATCCTGTACCATGCCAAGATCGTGCTAACCTGTCATAGCCTAGAATATCTAGAATTTGAGAGAAAAAATTGTAACAAGCAGTTTTACAAAGGAATTATATTCTTGAGGGTATTCATAAAAGCCCCTAGCTGGCTCACTTTTTTATTTAATGTCAAAGTTGAAAAAATCGCTTTTTCGCGTGTATTTAAGAAGTTATGAATTATTAGTGGATGTGAAACCTTACATGGCCATTTTCCTGTAATGGTTAATTTGTTATTGCAGAAAAATGTAAAAAAATTGTCAATTTCCACATTTATTTTTTACTGGAGAATCCATAACAGTAAATCTAAAATAATAGACAAAATTCAAGGCCTTTGTGGTGCTTAATATAAGAATATGATTCAACAATGTTCAATTGTTTCTGCAAATTCGTAACTGATACTAATTTTTTTGAGATAAATATTTTTTTTAACCTATCCGTTGACTTTGGATTAAGCAAATGGCTCACTCTGTTGCCAGAGGCTTAGTTTAATCACATACTAAAAGTGATACCAGATTTTCTTATATTAATCATGCAAAAAGCTGTCATCAATGTTGATGGCCATAATTGGGATGCTCACCCGTGAAAATCTGATGAATGAAAATATACACTTTGGCAAAAGAGGAACCTTTGGGGGCCGAGATACCATTTTTTCTCAAAGAAGCCACCATAATGTTAGTCACCAATATCAATAAGGGTCACAATTCAGTCCACATATGAAAAAACATTTGAAGTTTATTAAACTGCCTGTGTAAAACCGTAGCCTAGGTTTGATTTTCCTATGCAAAATGTCTCCTAATACTGGCGAGGAAGTGCTGTAATCGTCAAAACTTTTATTGATATATTATGCTTTTGGATGTTATATGACCTGTACATCACGAAAAATCCTTGGTCCTTCTACAACTTGGAAAGTATTAATTTCCACACAGGCCAAAAGCAAAAAAATTAAAAATCAGTCAAACTACGATTTTTAGGCTGGTGTCGCAACAGACTGTATAGTAGCAGAAAGAACAAAACATATTTTACTTTATTTGCCCTTTTGGGAAGCTCCTTATTAGCACTTCCCTTCACAATATCATCACTATTTTTCTTCTGCATTCATAATTTTCTCTTGGAATAAATCCAATACATCATTATGCGGCCAAAATATCTGTACATGAAAAACGTCTGAACTTTAGGTGCAGACTCGGTGGGTTCGTCATATTCAAGTGAAAGTGAATCTAACAAATTAAAAATGGATGAACCTCCAGTTGCTGCCCCAGTTGAGAAAGAAGTAAAAGAACGTAGTGTAAGTGATACATATCACAAAAGAGATAGTCATAAATCAAATAAAGAAAATGATAGGTCAAGTATTACAGAAAAAAGCCACATCTCAAAAGAAAAACAAGGAAATGAGAAGGCTAATAGGTAAGGCTTTTTATTTTTTTAATTATTTAAAAATCAGTAAGTAACATTCCTGTCCCATAATGACGGTGATACTAATTTTAGTGTTTCAAAAAAGATGCTCACATTAATGTGACAGATTGTTTATTACTTGAATAATTTTATTATCCACATCTTACCTGAAGTGATTAGGGAAACCACTTCTGTAACTCAGGGGTTTATCTAAGTTAGTCAGCTTTTCCTCTAAGAATTAACTTTCTTAGGGCATCACCTTATTGCTTGAAAATAATAGTTTCTTCCTATTGTTAACAGATCTTGAAATCGTTATTTTTTTTACCAAGAATGACAAGTCAAAGGGACTATGTTCGGTAATCTGCTGTGCAATAGCATATCGGCGAACGATGGTTTTTAAAAATAACTTTTATTTCCCGCTGATGAATCTAACTACTACTACAATAATAATAATAATAATAATAATAATAATAATATTTATTCACTCAATGTACAAAGATAACAAAAAATATGAGTAAATAAATATAAAATCAAAACAGGCCCAATAGAAGGCATCGCCTGTACATGGACCAATAAATTTAAGTTGAAACTGTAGAATGCAAATGACAAAAAGGACAAAAATTAGCTACAGTAGATTATGTATTTAGTTGATGTTCGTATTTATGAGTTTATGAATTTCAGTCCTAGATATAGAATGTAGCCACTTTTTTAAATTTCTTTTGAAACAATTTCCGAAACGTAAATCTTTTAAGTCTTTAGGTATGATTTCATAAAATTTAGGCGCTAAATAGAGGTATGATTGCTGCATTATAGATTTATGCGGTTGAGGAACTACTGTGCCACGAATTTTTACCTGGTATAATGATTATGTTTAATTTTTTGGTCGGTGTTTACAAATTTATGGTAGTGAGTGATACTGTGTAAGAAATAAAGCTGTCTTATATCATACATTCGAACATCTGCGTATAGTTGATAGCTATGTGATTACCAAACAAAAAGTACAACGTTTTTTATAAAGTCGTATAATGGAATACACATTCTTAAGAAGCATGGAGGACGTACAATACCGAGCAAAAGTGGAGAAACATTCTATTTTTTTAAAGATTTTATTAAACTATTAAAGTAAACTATACACTTATGTTTTATTATAGCTTAGTGTAACATTTAATTCAAAGTGTAACGGTTTCACCGTCCGATCGTATTTATTAAATCACTTCTCGATTATCATTTCATTAACCCCATCTCTAGCTTTTTTACTTGGAAAATTTTCCGCTTGGACCGCTTGATGCGGAGTTCCTGATCTGCGATCTTCCTCGCGCTTCTTTTTCACTTGAGCCGCCGATCGAACAAGAGCTAAGAATTTTCTTCTCTGTAGCACAAGGTCATATAGCACCATGTGCTAGAATTTTGTAGAATGTGTGTCCGTATAGGACAAAATGATTGGGGCCACCCCCTTTCTCTTTCCCTTTCCCTTTGTCTTTGCTTTTGCCTTAGTCTTTGACTTTGCGTTGCTTGGCCTATCACTTCACCCATGCATGTGCCTTGGCAGCGCCATCGCCTTTAACTTCAACTTCGCCTACAACTGGTTTTGAAGCCACTATATGTGAGGCCACCCCTCATAACTGGGACCTCCACTTCAAGCACCTGGCCATCCTCGCTTCAGTCGAGTCAAAATGGACCAGCGAAAGATAAGTTGATAGTTTTATAGCAGCGCCAAAGATGTAAAACTTATTTTGTTCTTCAAAACTGTAAAATTGTAATGTAATGGAAATGCTTTTTTTGTTAAATAAAATCTGTTAAATTTTTGTGTTCTGTTTGTTCTTCTATCCTCTAGCCATGCCATGGTTGACACACAGCTACACGCCTGTAGATGTCTTCATGCCACCGACTGAGCTACCGGAAGCTAATGGTAACCCCCTTTCTGTGATTGTGCAGAAAAGTTGGAATCTTCATTGCATTCCATCTTTTCTGGACTTTTTGCGGAAAGGAAGCGTTACAAAAGCCCACATGAAAATAAAATTTCTGCTTTAATAAAACTATGCTAACAATTATGCCTTTCAGGCAGCAGCGGTGGCCGCAGTAGTAGGCTCGTCGGTCTCCTGATCAATCGCCTTGCGCTGTGCGGGTTCGAGTCCCGTCCCAGGAGAAATGTTTCTCTTGGCTATGAATGTTGTGATTGTCCGTAGGTGGTAGACGGTCTCTGACTGTCGAACGCGGAGGTACCACCCGGCGGATCTCGTAGGCGGAGCCAGAATGTGTGCATGTTGCATGCACACGTGTTCCCTCGCCAGACTCCGTGTGGCGTTCCCCCTTTCCCATGTATCCTCCTATAGCCCCACGGTACCCAATGGGTGCTTAGGCCTTAGGCCTTCGTGGTAGTTGGAGTATAAAAAAAATAGAAAATACAGCGAGCAAAAATAGAGAAACATAATATACAAAGCAATTGTCGTTTACAAATAAGCTCATACTTGGTTGCATAACCTTTATTTTGATAACTGCTAGACATCTTTTTCTCATAGAACCAATTAGGCTATCTGTTGTTTCTTTTGGAATAGAATTCCAGGCGACTTCGATTGTTTCAAATAGTTCGGCACTGTTTTTGAACTTTTCTGGATGTTCAGTCCGAATTTTTTAATCAACTAAATCCCACAGGTTCTCTATGAGGTTAAGGTCTGGACTCTGAGCTGGCCACCTAATGACATTAATATTGTGATCTGCAAAAAATGTTTTTATTATTTTCGCTGTGTGCTTGTGGTCGTTGTCGTGCTGGAAACTGCCAGCGTAGAGCGTTTTCTTCTGCGTAAGGTAGTATGGTATCAGTCAATATTTCCAAGTATTTGTACCGGTCCATAATTCCTTCAATTTTGATGATGGATCCCATTTGAAGACCACAGAAGCAACCCCGTACTTGAACCTTTCCGCCTCTCCGTGTTCGATTGTGCCCAATGTGAACTTAGGATCAATCGATTGTTTTTAGGACGTCTTACCCATAAAATGCCATCCGATGAAAATAAATTAAATTTACTTTCATCAGAAAATAATACAGAATTCCGCCATTTTTCTGACCAGTTCAAATGATCGTAAGCAAATTGAGACGGGCGGGCTAATTTTTCTTGAAATAAAGGGTTTTTAGATGGTCTCCTTGCTGGTAAACGTCTTCGAACAGTTTGGACACCAATATTTACTTCTTCAAGTTGAGCTTTTATGTCGACAGTAGTAGTAAATAGATTTTTAAGAGCAATTGCTAATTTTCCTATCAATCCTAGGTGTGGTTTTTCGCGGTCTACCAGTCTTAGGAGGGCTTACCAACGATTTTCTGAGGCGGAACAGCTTAATAGTTCGCAAATTACCGATCAGCTGTTTTGCTAGGTTGCTTTGTTTGATACCTGATCGATATTTTAAAGTAATCAATTTTTTTATTGCAAATTCAATGTAATTGCTCTGGCCATGTTTTGAATTACACTTTACCAAATACACTCAAAAATAACACCTATTCTAATCAACGACTAAATATAAACTAAATACTTTTTCACCTGTTTGACGCATCATGTGATTGTTGTGTTACGGTCGAAAATACGCAAAATTTCTAAATTCCGGGCGAAACGATTAGCGGAGAAGTACTGCCAGCAAATCGACGAAATGCATCTGAAGCTCTGACGTATGTGTCCTAGATTGGTCAACATGAAGGGGAAAATTGTCCTTCACGACAACGCTCGGCCACACGTCGCACAACCGACCCTGCAAAGCTGAACGAATTGGGCTATGAAACTCTGCCTCATCCACACATTCACTGGACCTTTCAATAAGTATGACGATGCCAAAAATGCGTTCAATGATTTAATCGCCTCCAGAACTCCGGATTTCTAGGTTAGCGGCATAAATTCTCTCGTTGTTCAAAGTGTACTGATTCTGATGGTTTTTATTTTGATTAATAAAGTTTTGTTAAACCTGAGATACGCTCCTTTGAATTTAAGGTTAAAACCGCAAGAACTTTCCGAACACCCTAAATAATTAAAGTTTATTCTGTACAACTACTCCAAGATAAATATTTGTTTGTAAATTGTGTGGTATGGGGAGATAATGAATTAACACTCTGAATGAATAATAGTAGGATTTTACTCAATAATATAATAGTATACAGGACAGCACTGTACGGTAAAGTAATATAAATTCTTTACTTAGCGGTACAAGACTAAAACTTAAATAAACATATAAAAAAATATCACAATCCACATCAGAATGCTAAACGTAAACTTGTATTTGTTACCCGGTACTTCTGATAGTCAACCAAACACGATAAAACTTAATAGTTACGTGATGATATACCAAATACAAATTAAATTGTCGAATAATTTAGAATGAATAACGCTTAACATATTAACTATCATGAAGTTTTAATAGATGTTTGGATAAGTGACTGTGCACAGCAGTTTTGAAATTGCACTTTTTACATTCATATATCTTGCAAGTAATTGAAGCAATAAAACTTGGATGTTTCCTAATGACATGATCATCCAGCCCCTGTTTACTTCTAAATGTTGCACTACAATGGTTGCATGAGACCAGCTTTAGCTTACCAGATACCTCAGGATGTCTTAACATGTGTTTTTGAATGTGATGGATAAATGTCGTTGCAAAATCACACTGTACCATTTATATATTTGGGTAGTCACCGATTCGCTACTAAATTCTGGATGTTTCTTTAAGATATGATTATCAATGTAATTCTATTTCTTAAAGCTGTGTTACAGTGTGGACAAGTACTGAACTTATAATCAATCGTCGTTTCAGGGTGTTTCAAAATATGCCTGTTGTAATCACTGTTGATAGTCGTTTTATAAGAGCACTTTCTACATTCGTGCATTTTATCAAGAGCAACCCTATATTTGAATGTGGCATCACAGTGTTTACAAGTGTTATACTGAAAACTAGGACTATCTGTTTCATGTTTTAACACGTGTTTTTTAATGTGATGGATAAATGTCGTTGCAAAATCACACTGTATACATTATATATTTGGGTAGTCACCGATTCGCTAAATTCTGGATGTTTCTTTAAGATATGATTATCTAATGTAATTCTATTTCTTAAAGCTGCGTTACAGTGTGGACAAGTACTGAACTTATAATCAATCGTCGTTTCAGGGTGTTTCAAAATATGCCTGTTGTAATCACTGTTGATAGTCGTTTTATAAGAGCACTTTCTACATTCGTGTATTTTGCTAGTAACTGATGAACTAAACTCTACATGTTTCTTAACTATGTGATCATCCAGCAGCTGTTTACTATTGAACGCCCCATCACAATGCACGCAATTAACAAACTTAAAACTACTATCTGTCTCAGGATGCTTCACAAGGTGTTTGCTCAAATGACTACTTGCTGTGGTTCTATAATCGCATGGGAAACATGCAGTATTTTGCTAGTAACATACTCAATAAATTTTGGATGTTTTTTCAAAATGTGGTCGTCCAAAGACATTTTACTTCTGAATGTCATGTTGCATTCTGGACACACGCTGAACTTATAATTATCAGATGACTCTGGGTGTTTCAACAAATGTCTACTTAAATATTTCCTTATAGTCGTTTTAAAATCGCATTTTTTACATGCATGTACTTTGCTAGAGACTGTTTCAGAAAAACTTGGATGTTTTTTCAATATGTGATCGTGCAGTGCTATCTTGGTTTTGAATGACTGATCACAGTGTTCACAGTTACTGAATTTATACTCTGAAGCTGTGTCAGGGTGCTTCAACAGATGATTTTCAAATGCAACTTTCACTACAGTTTTAAACTCGCATTTCGGACAGTTATGTATTTTGAAAGTGACAGATGAAATGGAATCTGGGTGGTTTTTTACGATATGATCGTCCAGTGTTTTTTTCTGTATGAATGTCATGTTACATTGTGGACAGATTCGGCAGCTTTTAGAAGATATCGCAGAGTTGCTTGTGTCACTCTCATCTTGTATCTCCGGTTCTTCCTTTATATGGATAGCATCCAAGCATCGCGGTTCTTTCCTATGAACAATAATATCGATAAACAATCTTTATTGATTGAAAAAGGTATAACAATGAAAATCAATTTCCGGAAAGCGCAAAGATTAGCTTTCATCGTTTCATCCTCAGAAGAATAGACTATTTCATATAATTCTGACGGATCCGTCAACGGCAGGTAGACAGAGCCGAATTTTGTTTTGGTTATTTGTATGCTACAGATTTATTTTGTAATTGCTCTTTTATTTAGAAAAGTTCATTTGCATACAAAAGCAAAATGCGGCAAAACAAGTTTTACAAGATTTATATCTGATCCATTATTGCCAGACTAACACAAAAGTGTCACTTGTTGATCAGTTGTTCACCTCAGTAGACGTCATATTCCGCTTAATCCAAAATATTGCACTAAACTATCTTATGAAATACAATACATAGCAACATAAAAACGCAGCAGTTTCAAAACAATGTTGTAACTAGTACATATAAAAGAAGGTATGTGAGAATGATACAATACAAATTTGGTCACAGAGAAAGAGGTAGAAGAAATGGAAGAATATATACAGGGGTGGACTAGGACGATAACTCTATTGTTATGCATAGTATCTAATAAGGAATTATGCTCCTTACTTCCAATCATATATTTTTTAAATACAGCAACCTACATTTTATTACAAATTTGGAGTTTCATCAATCAGTTGTACTACGAATTTTGAAATAACCAGGCACATAAATAATTTAACATACCCCTAAAGTCAAAATGTATCTACAGAGAGTGCATGAATCATGTTCAAGAAGGTTTTCATCTCTCTGAATGGTTAAGCAACCCTTTTGAGAGCAAAATGACAATTAATTCAGGTCATCAAGTGTTTTTTACCAGAATATAGCAATCTTTTTTTTACCATTTTATTGAAAAATATAACAATGCTTAGACAACTAGAGGGGGGGTGTGGCAAGCCACCCTTGTTCATTAAATCTTGTTTTTTTGAAGCATTAAAAGTGTACAATGTAAAATGGCCTTCCTACTCATCTGCATTTAAATGTATATGTAATATTTGGTGGGCTGATAAACACTTGAATGAAATGAACATATGTTTTTCATCTTTAATAAATAAATAAGGTTGCTTCTAGGGGCAGTTGTCAACTGGTTAAGGTATGATTTGTGGAAAATAATATTGCATATAGTTACTTGAATTTTTATTTGGACATGCAGATATTTGTGTTTTTGATTTTGATCAGTGCAGTGATAGATTCTGATAATAGATGGCACTTGTACTGACATACATCTGTCTTTAATAATATTTGAGTTTGGTATAAAACAATTTTTTTTCTATTGCAGAAAAATTGCATGCTTACAAAATCAGTCAAATGGTATGTGGATGGAGCACTGCTACTGGATGAAAAGTTAAACAAAAACATTTATGAATATGACACATTTTAAAAATATTTAACACAATTTTTTCACATATTTATTTCTTGACCTACATTTTATTACATATTCAGACAGAACCTTTTAACATGATAAAATTGATATGATCAACCCTCAAGTTTGGGAGTTTGTGAGTTCACCACTTAACAGACATTAAGTTATGAGTTAAATATTTTCTTCATCTTTGGTTTCTAGTAAATCTATTAATTGATTTGAAATTATCAGTTATTAATAAGCAAGCAGTATTGATTAAAAATGGGTAAAATGATAATCATTTTTTTTAACATTCCTAGTAATATCTATAATTGTATATTAACACTTGATTATTACCTTTCAATAACTCCTCATTAGTTACATCTGTTCTGCTTTCTTGCCCCACACCAATCCCTGTTTTAAATTGTGAAACATCACAATATTTAGGAGTTGCATCTAATTCTGGATCTTCCTTCTTAATTTTCATCACATGTTCACCTAGATTTTTTGGAAAAGCAGAATCCCATTCTTCAGACTCTACCTTAATCCTTAAATATAAGAGATCATGATAGCTGTTATTCAAAAACCTTTTGATAGCAAAACAGTTTCCAAAGTCTATTTATTCATATCAAAATAATATAGCATATATTTATGTAAGGTGCTCTAATTCTCCAATTTGTCTTGTTTTGAATATTACTTTTATCTACTATCAGTACTGCCAGAAAACCTTAAGTGCCTTTCCTTTAATGAGATGCTTGGATGATAGCATACCTTACATACTCAGGTTGGTCCAAATTGTGTTCGGCAGCATCATGATGCATGGAGACAATCTGCTTCATTATTAACAGCAAATTCCTGTTCAATCTTAACTGCAACTGGCAAATCCATAGTGAGGCCAAAGTGGCGTTTCTTGTTTTCTCTTGTCCCTCTGATGAATGTAGCACAATAACCTTTCAACCAATTTTTAATTGAAATTCCAAATCCTTAAAAAATGGGATGGTTGTCACAATTATAATCATCGTAGAATAAAATTTATGCCCGAATGCTAATTTGAAATCAAAATTCAATAATATACTTTAATTGTTGATTTTTTGACGCTGACAAAAAACACAACCCTAAAACAGCTGGGAGTAACGTAGAAGAGACAACGATCTGCGACATCTAGGACGTAACATCCTGAAGCGAGTGTTGCGCTGTTGCCACGCTTGAGCTACTTTTGCTGAACTCTACTGGTGGACTATGTGACCATACTTTTTAGGGCTACGGCTAGTTCGTTTCACGTTCAAAAAAGATTTCATTGTGCTATGTAAGTGTATGTGAGTAAGCTCACAAAAAGATGCATTTTATCTTATTTTTCGACGATGAAATTTCCGAAGTATCGAATACTTCCATAGCTCCATTTAGATATCGATCAGTATATCGACTATCGAACTTGCACCATCATACTCGATAGTCGATATTTTTTGACAACAGGAAAGTCGACGTCAGTGTATATGTTTTGTGGTCGACGTCTCCAATTTCCATTTTTCAATACACACCAAAAATTTTCCCCTCGAATATTTCGTTTCAAAATTTAGGAGGGTGAGAACAAACTGTAGACATGAATATTTATGGTTGATTTGTTCAGTCGTGCTGCTAACGTTAAGAACTTTTCTAATGTATACAGGGTGACTTTGAAGTTGAGTCATTAATTTTCAGATAATGATTGTAGAAGGAAGATAAACCAAAATATGTGTGTAAAAATAAAAAAAAAATTTACCTTGTTTTATAAAGTATCCTCTCGACAAGTATTTCAGTGCGGACCTGTATTTGATCGTGAGGTCCCCTGTGAGGTCTTAAGTCACCTGATTCACGAGCCCGTTGTACTACATTAACAAAGGCACGAGGGGTTGGTTGCACTCGATTGGGAAACCGATCCGCATAAACATGTGCCATTTTTTATTTCGTTTGAGCCACGTAACAGACACTATTCACACGCGACTGACACTGACTGTATGTATAACTGAACTGAATAAAATAATTGTAAAAACATCGTTCCAAATTCTTTCGCTTTTTTGTTTCCGATGCGATGAACCGATAAGGTGGATTATATCCGTTGTTGCCAAACACGAGCACATGATATTATTATTGAGACAGGGCGGTACTCAAACTTCCAAAGGGCTATAACTTTGTTACTTTAATTTTACCAGAAAAATGGTAAAGGAAAAAACATTTCTTTTGATCAGATCTACTCACTGTTAAAATAAATGACTCAACTTCGAAGTCACCCTGTATATCGCTCATTGAATGCAGAACTAGCTCAAGTCACAAAATGCTAATTTTACAGGAGATCATTTTTTCTGATTTTGTCTTAAACGTCTCGCAAGTCTTGAATGAAAATGTGTTCATAATATGAGTATACTTGCATGTGTTTTGCTCTTTTAAGGATTTTTTTATTTAGGCTTACAAAACCGAAATTGTGGACTTAGGATACTTGTCTTCGTGGAAGTTGTATCCTATGTCCACATAGGATAAGGTGTAGTCATAATATAAGTAACTTAGGCTAGTTCTGACCCATGTTTGTATCTATACCTATATGTACATTCAGCTTATTCAGTACAAAAATAGAAACGGGAATACGTTGAAAACATTTATTGACAACTAAGCAGTCTTATTATACAGGTACATAATATTATAATTAACTACCAAAACATAAACGAGGCATTCAGGCAAACGATGGACAGTGCTCAAAGTAATAACAGGAAACAAAAATTATAATTCAGTATCCCCACCAGATCAACTATTGCTACCTAATATATAAAAAAGTGGTAGTATTAAGAAACTTTTTGTAACAGAAAAATGATGAACTTCTATTCTGAGTCGTCTTCCCTACTTACGTTGGAATACTGTAAGTTCTTGTAGAAACTGCGGTACCGAGTAGGTATAGTCCCCTTGTCACATAGGAATTGCAGATGATCATACTTTTTTTTGCTGATCGAGATAGCACCCTTGTAACATTGCTTTAACTGTATATTTTTTAGATCAAGATCAATTGTCCTCCTGCCTTTTGTTAATAAATCAATTGTTCTGAACGGTTCATTGTAGTCGTATTTGAATAAAAATTTATTTGGAAATTTGAGGGTTCCCTCTAAAATTCGTATTTTATTTATAGAAACCTTCTCATTTTCCACATCACGATCCCAATTCAAAATGGTATCCTTGGCAAGCGCTTTCAAATCAAAAAAATTCTCTTTGTCCATCTCAGTTACTACATACGGTTTACTTCTTTTTGCCCTGCGTACTAAAGTATACCATTGATCAGGGGTAAATAAAGGGATAAGCTTAGATGCTCGTTCAATTACACTATGCATCGAATCCCCTTCAGTTTGCGTATGACCTTTCTCCAAAAATGTATGCCTTATCACAATATTGTGCTTCTGTGCTAATAAGCTATACGTACTAAAAATATATTTGTTTCGATTTTGACCTGCACAATTGTCGGAATAGAAAGAAAATTCTCTCGTATCTTCATGTACTTTGAGGTCGATAAAACGCATCAAACAGCTGCCTATTTCTGAGCTTCCCCTTTTCCCAACAGACTCGTACCACATGTAACAATGTCCTTCAGAATTTGCCAACTTAAAAATCGTGAAATTGTATGTTGATAATTTAAGTTTGTAATATGCCATACCAACATTACTTTTGGGGAGAGGCAGTATTTGTTCCAAATCAAAAACGGCTGCACAAAATTCTCTATTTTGCTTAGCCGTCTGTTTATCAGCATTCTTTAAATCCCGTCCAATGTGCTTGTTCTTTCTGTGCAACTGGTATTCTTCTTCCATTTCAGTTCTTTCTTCTGCTGTTCCGCCATCATACTTGTTGCAAATATCATACAAATCTTTTTTAGGGATGAAAAATGAGAAGTTGAATTCGGTGTTGAAGATTATTCCGTAAATGCTTTCTGTCGCAGGTTGGATGTTGTTCTGCTCACAGTATTCAAGATAAAGGCCATACATCTTCGAAATATTAAGCGTTGGTGGCAGAAATTGCTTTGAAGTGTTTTTTCGGCAGTAGTGACTCTCGACTGTTTAGAATAGATTAATGTGGTCCCTCACTGACTGCTTTATTGAATCACTCAATTTAGAATTCTTGCATGCCTTACCACACCGCTCTGCCCCGACTATACCGGTGCTACCCATTTTTTTTGAACACTGTCTTAATGACCTGGGCGCTTATCCCTAAAGTATTCATAAAAAAAGTTTTACAGGCCGCTATTTTATCTCTCAAATATCTGTTTCCTCTCTTCTTCTGTGAACTTTTCGCTGCACTTTTGTCTGCAGTTAGTACAAGGAGGTTTTGGTTGCCTTTTTGGACGGAGGTTTCCTCTCCAGTCTATATACTTCTCGCCAAGATTCCGCAACTTCTTTATTTCATTTCTTCTCTATGCACCCGGATTTCTCTGTCTCTTCCATGTATTTTTCTTGGTTTTCATCGGCTCATTTTTATCATCATGTTCTGATGAGTTTTCGATATCATCTGGATCTCTACTGTGAGTTGAGTTTTTCCTTAATGTTGGTATGTAGTCCATGTCATTGCTATCATCACTGGTGGCAAATGGGTCAGTCTCACATTCAAAAGGCATACAATCATTCCCTATAGTATTTGAGGATTTTGATGTGAAGTCAGTATTTTGTAGAACAGTTTTCTCATATGTATCTCCACCGTTCAATTCAACTATAGCGGGACTAATGATCTTAAGGATTTCATTGGATGGAAATTCCTCAATGGTTACAGAGGATTTTGTAGGATGTAAGTTGAACTTTCTCAAGGCATCAAAAAAAGAGGAGGCTGTTGGGTGATACTGTCCTGCATCAGTTGAGCTATGCTTCTTGCCGAAGAAGGTATTTTGGGAACATCATCAGCTTGGTTGTTAGAAGTTGTTGATCCCCCATCATCTTCTTGTACATATTCTAGAATCAAATTGGACATTATAAATTAACAGAAAGCAACACGAACGAATGTGGGAAAATTTTTGAGATCCACCTACAGAAAATAATAGTCGGGCTAATAATTGTTTAGCTATAATCCTATAACCCAATCAGTTTTTCCTTCTTATTCCTCTTCGAGTCACCCTCAAATCGTCTTTTGTAGATTATAACTTTATAGTTTATACAGTATCGAAGTCTAATGTCACTTGCTTTCTGTAATAGCCTCTCCAATTTTTTGTTTGGCATTCGGAGTAAACGATGTAGATGAGCTCCTTTTCTCTTGATGTTGTATGCCTACAAATCATACCCATACATAATTAGGAAATTATTAAAACTTAATTTATTGTCTCACCAGCCTTCTGATTTTTTCGGGGCCAACATTTGTATTATTTTTAAAGTTGTAGAATTCATTGTGACCGCGATATACAAAATAATATCGCTACTTTTAAGGAAGTTACCGTATTGCAGAAGTATTCTATGTCCACAGCTACTATGTACTTGGTATACAAATGCTAATACAGAACTAGCTTATGTCCATACAAAGCATAGACTTAGCATACGCAACCGCCAAGGGATTGTTCTGCACTGAATCTCGGAACGCGTCGCAAGTTGGGATATTTGCATAATAGACGCGGTAGAGGGGATAACGTGTTGATATTATAGGCTAGTTCTGCACCCAAATCCGGCATGGGCCGTAGCATCCCATGGTGTTGTTAATGCAAATTCGGCAAAAATGGACTTGGGCTAGTTCTGCATTCAATGAGCGATATGCAACCCTTGTACAATACAGCTGTTTCCTTGATGTGGGACTGTGATATTTTCCTTAAATTCCATTGAAATTTCTTAATCAGCACAATGGAAAATGATCAAGAGAAGATCCATGAAGGTCATATGCTATTACCAGGAAAGACTAGAAAAATATGCAACCAGTGGTAGTGGTGAAAAGGTAGACATTAATTTTGTAATCTGCACTTTTTCTAGATGTTAACTTGCAGCTCTTGTACACGTTAGGGGAACTTAAAAAACTCCCTATCAAAACTACACATCTGGAAAATACTGGTGTTGGCAGAACTGTAAACGGCTTAAAGAAATTAGGTGGAGATGTGGGAGAAGCTGCCAAAAACTTGGTTACATTATTGAAAGAAATGGTAATGCAGGAAGAACAGGCAGAGAAAGAGGCACAATCAAATGGTTGGTGATTGTTATACTTACTATAGTTAGGAATTGCACATGTTGATTTAGTGAAACTTGCTTAGGGTACCCCATCCCTGCATCCTATTTATTTTCCCAGAATCTTATGTTTCGGCCCTTATCTACAGTCCTTGTGCACAACTTAAGTTTGTGCTTTGAAGCATGAAAAGTCTTAATTCCAGATATATTGAAGGAATATAACCAGCAACAAAAATTAAGCTTGAGACCAATCTCAGCATTTTATTTAATTGTTAAAACATTCAAATGTTTTTTGTTACCTGTTTATTCAAATTTTATTAAGGATTTAAATGATTGTGTCCAACGAACAACTGATATCTTTAAACATTTTTGTATCGCATACTTGTATATATTTTAGTTAGGATTCTTTTTTTGTAGAAATATTTTATAATTTCCTTATAGAAACAGCTTAAATATTATCTTGGACCTGATCAAAACATCACTTTTCACAGACACTATAATTCATTAGTCATCTGTCTTCCCAGTTACAGTTTGTTTTTCTGCTAAAATACAGTATCTTTTAACAAGAGCCTGAATGATCCTGTACCATGCCAAGATCGTGCTAACCTGTCATAGCCTAGAATATCTAGAATTTGAGAGAAAAAATTGTAACAAGCAGTTTTACAAAGGAATTATATTCTTGAGGGTATTCATAAAAGCCCCTAGCTGGCTCACTTTTTTATTTAATGTCAAAGTTGAAAAAATCGCTTTTTCGCGTGTATTTAAGAAGTTATGAATTATTAGTGGATGTGAAACCTTACATGGCCATTTTCCTGTAATGGTTAATTTGTTATTGCAGAAAAATGTAAAAAAATTGTCAATTTCCACATTTATTTTTTACTGGAGAATCCATAACAGTAAATCTAAAATAATAGACAAAATTCAAGGCCTTTGTGGTGCTTAATATAAGAATATGATTCAACAATGTTCAATTGTTTCTGCAAATTCGTAACTGATACTAATTTTTTTGAGATAAATATTTTTTTTAACCTATCCGTTGACTTTGGATTAAGCAAATGGCTCACTCTGTTGCCAGAGGCTTAGTTTAATCACATACTAAAAGTGATACCAGATTTTCTTATATTAATCATGCAAAAAGCTGTCATCAATGTTGATGGCCATAATTGGGATGCTCACCCGTGAAAATCTGATGAATGAAAATATACACTTTGGCAAAAGAGGAACCTTTGGGGGCCGAGATACCATTTTTTCTCAAAGAAGCCACCATAATGTTAGTCACCAATATCAATAAGGGTCACAATTCAGTCCACATATGAAAAAACATTTGAAGTTTATTAAACTGCCTGTGTAAAACCGTAGCCTAGGTTTGATTTTCCTATGCAAAATGTCTCCTAATACTGGCGAGGAAGTGCTGTAATCGTCAAAACTTTTATTGATATATTATGCTTTTTGGATGTTATATGACCTGTACATCACGAAAAATCCTTGGTCCTTCTACAACTTGGAAAGTATTAATTTCCACACAGGCCAAAAGCAAAAAAATTAAAAATCAGTCAAACTACGATTTTTAGGCTGGTGTCGCAACAGACTGTATAGTAGCAGAAAGAACAAAACATATTTTACTTTATTTGCCCTTTTGGGAAGCTCCTTATTAGCACTTCCCTTCACAATATCATCACTATTTTTCTTCTGCATTCATAATTTTCTCTTGGAATAAATCCAATACATCATTATGCGGCCAAAATATCTGTACATGAAAAACGTCTGAACTTTAGGTGCAGACTCGGTGGGTTCGTCATATTCAAGTGAAAGTGAATCTAACAAATTAAAAATGGATGAACCTCCAGTTGCTGCCCCAGTTGAGAAAGAAGTAAAAGAACGTAGTGTAAGTGATACATATCACAAAAGAGATAGTCATAAATCAAATAAAGAAAATGATAGGTCAAGTATTACAGAAAAAAGCCACATCTCAAAAGAAAAACAAGGAAATGAGAAGGCTAATAGGTAAGGCTTTTTATTTTTTTAATTATTTAAAAATCAGTAAGTAACATTCCTGTCCCATAATGACGGTGATACTAATTTTAGTGTTTCAAAAAAGATGCTCACATTAATGTGACAGATTGTTTATTACTTGAATAATTTTATTATCCACATCTTACCTGAAGTGATTAGGGAAACCACTTCTGTAACTCAGGGGTTTATCTAAGTTAGTCAGCTTTTCCTCTAAGAATTAACTTTCTTAGGGCATCACCTTATTGCTTGAAAATAATAGTTTCTTCCTATTGTTAACAGATCTTGAAATCGTTATTTTTTTTACCAAGAATGACAAGTCAAAGGGACTATGTTCGGTAATCTGCTGTGCAATAGCATATCGGCGAACGATGGTTTTTAAAAAATAACTTTTATTTCCCGCTGATGAATCTAACTACTACTACAATAATAATAATAATAATAATAATAATAATAATATTTATTCACTCAATGTACAAAGATAACAAAAATATGAGTAAATAAATATAAAATCAAAACAGGCCCAATAGAAGGCATCGCCTGTACATGGACCAATAAATTTAAGTTGAAACTGTAGAATGCAAATGACAAAAAGGACAAAAATTAGCTACAGTAGATTATGTATTTAGTTGATGTTCGTATTTATGAGTTTATGAATTTCAGTCCTAGATATAGAATGTAGCCACTTTTTTAAATTTCTTTTGAAACAATTTCCGAAACGTAAATCTTTTAAGTCTTTAGGTATGATTTCATAAAATTTAGGCGCTAAATAGAGGTATGATTGCTGCATTATAGATTTATGCGGTTGAGGAACTACTGTGCCACGAATTTTTTACCTGGTATAATGATTATGTTTAATTTTTTGGTCGGTGTTTACAAATTTATGGTAGTGAGTGATACTGTGTAAGAAATAAAGCTGTCTTATATCATACATTCGAACATCTGCGTATAGTTGATAGCTATGTGATTACCAAACAAAAAGTACAACGTTTTTTATAAAGTCGTATAATGGAATACACATTCTTAAGAAGCATGGAGGACGTACAATACCGAGCAAAAGTGGAGAAACATTCTATTTTTTTAAAGATTTTATTAAACTATTAAAGTAAACTATACACTTATGTTTTATTATAGCTTAGTGTAACATTTAATTCAAAGTGTAACGGTTTCACCGTCCGATCGTATTTATTAAATCACTTCTCGATTATCATTTCATTAACCCCATCTCTAGCTTTTTTACTTGGAAAATTTTCCGCTTGGACCGCTTGATGCGGAGTTCCTGATCTGCGATCTTCCTCGCGCTTCTTTTTCACTTGAGCCGCCGATCGAACAAGAGCTAAGAATTTTCTTCTCTGTAGCACAAGGTCATATAGCACCATGTGCTAGAATTTTGTAGAATGTGTGTCCGTATAGGACAAAATGATTGGGGCCACCCCCTTTCTCTTTCCCTTTCCCTTTGTCTTTGCTTTTGCCTTAGTCTTTGACTTTGCGTTGCTTGGCCTATCACTTCACCCATGCATGTGCCTTGGCAGCGCCATCGCCTTTAACTTCAACTTCGCCTACAACTGGTTTTGAAGCCACTATATGTGAGGCCACCCCTCATAACTGGGACCTCCACTTCAAGCACCTGGCCATCCTCGCTTCAGTCGAGTCAAAATGGACCAGCGAAAGATAAGTTGATAGTTTTATAGCAGCGCCAAAGATGTAAAACTTATTTTGTTCTTCAAAACTGTAAAATTGTAATGTAATGGAAATGCTTTTTTTTGTTAAATAAAATCTGTTAAATTTTTGTGTTCTGTTTGTTCTTCTATCCTCTAGCCATGCCATGGTTGACACACAGCTACACGCCTGTAGATGTCTTCATGCCACCGACTGAGCTACCGGAAGCTAATGGTAACCCCCTTTCTGTGATTGTGCAGAAAAGTTGGAATCTTCATTGCATTCCATCTTTTCTGGACTTTTTGCGGAAAGGAAGCGTTACAAAAGCCCACATGAAAATAAAATTTCTGCTTTAATAAAACTATGCTAACAATTATGCCTTTCAGGCAGCAGCGGTGGCCGCAGTAGTAGGCTCGTCGGTCTCCTGATCAATCGCCTTGCGCTGTGCGGGTTCGAGTCCCGTCCCAGGAGAAATGTTTCTCTTGGCTATGAATGTTGTGATTGTCCGTAGGTGGTAGACGGTCTCTGACTGTCGAACGCGGAGGTACCACCCGGCGGATCTCGTAGGCGGAGCCAGAATGTGTGCATGTTGCATGCACACGTGTTCCCTCGCCAGACTCCGTGTGGCGTTCCCCCTTTCCCATGTATCCTCCTATAGCCCCACGGTACCCAATGGGTGCTTAGGCCTTAGGCCTTCGTGGTAGTTGGAGTATAAAAAAAATAGAAAATACAGCGAGCAAAAATAGAGAAACATAATATACAAAGCAATTGTCGTTTACAAATAAGCTCATACTTGGTTGCATAACCTTTATTTTTGATAACTGCTAGACATCTTTTTCTCATAGAACCAATTAGGCTATCTGTTGTTTCTTTTGGAATAGAATTCCAGGCGACTTCGATTGTTTCAAATAGTTCGGCACTGTTTTTGAACTTTTCTGGATGTTCAGTCCGAATTTTTTAATCAACTAAATCCCACAGGTTCTCTATGAGGTTAAGGTCTGGACTCTGAGCTGGCCACCTAATGACATTAATATTGTGATCTGCAAAAAATGTTTTTATTATTTTCGCTGTGTGCTTGTGGTCGTTGTCGTGCTGGAACTGCCAGCGTAGAGCGTTTTCTTCTGCGTAAGGTAGTATGGTATCAGTCAATATTTCCAAGTATTTGTACCGGTCCATAATTCCTTCAATTTTGATGATGGATCCCATTTGAAGACCACAGAAGCAACCCCGTACTTGAACCTTTCCGCCTCTCCGTGTTCGATTGTGCCCAATGTGAACTTAGGATCAAATCGATTGTTTTTAGGACGTCTTACCCATAAAATGCCATCCGATGAAAATAAATTAAATTTACTTTCATCAGAAAATAATACAGAATTCCGCCATTTTTCTGACCAGTTCAAATGATCGTAAGCAAATTGAAGACGGGCGGGCTAATTTTTCTTGGAAATAAAGGGTTTTTTAGATGGTCTCCTTGCTGGTAAACGTCTTCGAACAGTTTGGACACCAATATTTACTTCTTCAAGTTGAGCTTTTATGTCGACAGTAGTAGTAAATAGATTTTTAAGAGCAATTGCTAATTTTCCTATCAATCCTAGGTGTGGTTTTTCGCGGTCTACCAGTCTTAGGAGGGCTTACCAACGATTTTCTGAGGCGGAACAGCTTAATAGTTTCGCAAATTACCGATCAGCTGTTTTGCTATGGTTGCTTGTTTGATACCTGATCGATATTTTAAAGTAATCAATTTTTTTATTTGCAAATTCAATGTAATTGCTCTGGCCATGTTTTTGAATTACACTTTACCAAATACACTCAAAAATAACACCTATTCTAATCAACGACTAAATATAAACTAAATACTTTTTCCACCTGTTTGACGCATCATGTGATTGTTGTGTTACGTCGAAAATACGCAAATTTCTAAATCCGGGCGAAACGATTAGCGGAGAAGTACTGCCAGCAAATCGACGAAATGCATCTGAAGCTCTGACGTATGTGTCCTAGATTGGTCAACATGAAGGGGAAAATTGTCCTTCACGACAACGCTCGGCCACACGTCGCACAACCGACCCTGCAAAAGCTGAACGAATTGGGCTATGAAACTCTGCCTCATCCACACATTCACTGGACCTTTCAATAAGTATGACGATGCCAAAAATGCGTTCAATGATTTAATCGCCTCCAGAACTCCGGATTTCTAGGTTAGCGGCATAAATTCTCTCGTTGTTCAAAGTGTACTGATTCTGATGGTTTTTATTTTGATTAATAAAGTTTTGTTAAACCTGAGATACGCTCCTTTGAATTTAAGGTTAAAAACCGCAAGAACTTTCCGAACACCCTAATAAATTAAAGTTTATTCTGTACAACTACTCCAAGATAAATATTTGTTTGTAAATTGTGTGGTATGGGGAGATAATGAATTAACACTCTGAATGAATAATAGTAGGATTTTACTCAATAATATAATAGTATACAGGACAGCACTGTACGGTAAAGTAATATAAATTCTTTACTTAGCGGTACAAGACTAAAACTTAAATAAACATATAAAAAATATCACAATCCACATCAGAATGCTAAACGTAAACTGTGTATTTGTTACCCGGTACTTCTGATAGTCAACCAAACACGATAAACTTAATAGTTACGTGATGATATACCAAATACAAATTAAATTGTCGAATAATTTAGAATGAATAACGCTTAACAATATTAACTATCATGAAGTTTTAATAGATGTTTGGATAAGTGACTGTGCACAGCAGTTTTGAAATTGCACTTTTTACATTCATATATCTTGCAAGTAATTGAAGCAATAAAACTTGGATGTTTCCTAATGACATGATCATCCAGCCCCTGTTTACTTCTAAATGTTGCACTACAATGGTTGCATGAGACCAGCTTTAGCTTACCAGATACCTCAGGATGTCTTAACATGTGTTTTTGAATGTGATGGATAAATGTCGTTGCAAAATCACACTGTATACATTTATATATTTGGGTAGTCACCGATTCGCTAAATTCTGGATGTTTCTTTAAGATATGATTATCTAATGTAATTCTATTTCTTAAAGCTGTGTTACAGTGTGGACAAGTACTGAACTTATAATCAATCGTCGTTTCAGGGTGTTTCAAAATATGCCTGTTGTAATCACTGTTGATAGTCGTTTTATAAGAGCACTTTCTACATTCGTGCATTTTATCAAGAGCAACCCTATATTTGAATGTGGCATCACAGTGTTTACAAGTGTTATACTGAAAACTAGGACTATCTGTTTCATGTTTTAACACGTGTTTTTTAATGTGATGGATAAATGTCGTTGCAAAATCACACTGTATACATTTATATATTTGGGTAGTCACCGATTCGCTAAATTCTGGATGTTTCTTTAAGATATGATTATCTAATGTAATTCTATTTCTTAAAGCTGCGTTACAGTGTGGACAAGTACTGAACTTATAATCAATCGTCGTTTCAGGGTGTTTCAAAATATGCCTGTTGTAATCACTGTTGATAGTCGTTTTATAAGAGCACTTTCTACATTCGTGTATTTTGCTAGTAACTGATGAACTAAACTCTACATGTTTCTTAACTATGTGATCATCCAGCAGCTGTTTACTATTGAACGCCCCATCACAATGCACGCAATTAACAAACTTAAAACTACTATCTGTCTCAGGATGCTTCACAAGGTGTTTGCTCAAATGACTACTTGCTGTGGTTCTATAATCGCATTGGGAACATGCATGTATTTTGCTAGTAACATACTCAATAAATTTTGGATGTTTTCTCAAAATGTGGTCGTCCAAAGACATTTTACTTCTGAATGTCATGTTGCATTCTGGACACACGCTGAACTTATAATTATCAGATGACTCTGGGTGTTTCAACAAATGTCTACTTAAATATTTCCTTATAGTCGTTTTAAAATCGCATTTTTTACATGCATGTACTTTGCTAGAGACTGTTTCAGAAAAACTTGGATGTTTTTTCAATATGTGATCGTGCAGTGCTATCTTAGTTTTGAATGACTGATTACAGTGTTCACAGTTACTGAATTTATACTCTGAAGCTGTGTCAGGGTGCTTCAACAGATGATTTTCAAATGCAACTTTCACTACAGTTTTAAACTCGCATTTCGGACAGTTATGTATTTTGAAAGTGACAGATGAAATGGAATCTGGGTGGTTTTTTACGATATGATCGTCTAGTGTTTTTTTCTGTATGAATGTCATGTTACATTGTGGACAGATTCGGCAGCTTTTAGAAGATATCGCAGAGTTGCTTGTGTCACTCTCATCTTGTATGTCCGGTTCTTCCTTTATATGGATAGCATCCAAGCATCGCGGTTCTTTCCTATGAACAATAATATCGATAAACAATCTTTATTGATTGAAAAAGGTATAACAATGAAAAACAATTTCCGGAAAGCGCAAAGATTAGCTTTCATCGTTTCATCCTCAGAAGAATAGACTATTTCATATAATTCTGACGGATCCGTCAACGGCAGGTAGACAGAGCCGAATTTTGTTTTGGTTATTTGTACGCTACAGATTTATTTTGTAATTGCTCTTTTATTTAGAAAAGTTAATTTGCATACAAAAGCAAAACGCCGCAAAACAAGTTTTACAAGATTTATATCTGATCCATTATTGCCAGACTAACACAAAAATGTCACTTGCTGATCAGTTGTTCATCTCAGTAGACGTCATATTCCGCTTAATCCAAAATATTGCACTAAACTAACTTATGAAATACAATACATAGCAACATAAAAACGCAGCAGTTTCAAAACAATGTTGTAACTAGTACATATAAAAGAAGGTATGTGAGAATGATACAATACAAATTTGGTCACAGAGAAAGAGGTAGGAGAAATGGAAGAATATATACAGGGGTGGACTAGGACGATAACTCTGTTGTTATGCATAGTATCTAATAAGGAATTATGTTCCTTACTTCCAATCATATATTTTTTAAATACAGCAACCTACATTTTATTACAAATTTGGAGTTTCATCAATCAGTTGTACTACGAATTTTGAAATAACCAGGCACATAAATAATTTAACATACCCCTAAAGTCAAAATGTATCTACAGAGAGTGCATGAATCATGTTCAAGAAGGTTTTCATCTCTCTGAATGGTTAAGCAACCCTTTTGAGAGCGAAATGACAATTAATTCAGGTCATCAAGTGTTTTTTACCAGAATATAGCAATCTTTTTTTTACCATTTTATTGAAAAATATAACAAGCTTAGACAACTAGAGGGGGGGGGTGTGGCAAGCCACCCTTGTTCATTAAATCTTGTTTTTTGAAGCATTAAAAGTGTACAATGTAAAATGGCCTTCCTACTCAAATCATCTGCATTTAAATGTATATGTAATATTTTGTGGGCTGATAAACACTTGAAATGAAATGAACATATGTTTTTCATCCATAATAAATAAATAAGGTTGCTTCTAGGGGCAGTTGTCAACTGGTTAAGGTATGATTTGTGGAAAATAATATTTGCATATAGTTACTTGAATTTTTATTTGGACACGCAGATATTTGTGTTTTGATTTTGATCAGTGCAGTGATAGATTCTGATAATAGATGGCACTTGTACTGACATACATCTGTCTTTAATAATATTTGAGTTTGGTATAAAACATTTTTTTTTTCTATTGCAGAAAAATTGCATGCTTACAAAATCAGTCAAAAGGTATGAGGATGGAGCACTGCTGCTGGATGAAAAGTTAAACAAAAAAATTTATGAATAATGACACATTTTAAAAATATTTAACACTATTTTTCACATATTTATTCCTTGACCTACATTTTATTACATATTCAGACAGAACCTTTTAACATGATAAAATTGATATGCTCAACCCTCAAGTTTGGGAGTTTGCGAGTTCACCACTTAACAGACATTATGTTATGAATTAAAATATTTTCTTCATCTTTGGTTTCTAGTAAATCTATTAATTGATTTGAAATTATCAGTTATTAATAAGCAAGCATTAATTGATTAAAAATGGTAAAATGATAATCATTTTTTTTAACATTCCTAGTAATATCTATAAATTGTATATTAACACTTGATTATTACCTTTTCAATAACTCCTCATTATTTACATCTGTTCTGCTTTCTTGCCCCACACCAATCCCTGTTTTAAATTGTGAAACATCACAATATTTAGGAGTTGCATCTAATTCTGGATCTTCCTTCTTAATTTTCATCACATCTTCACCTAGATTTTTTGGCAAAGCAGAATCCCATTCTTCAGACTCTACCTTAATCCTTAAATATAAGAGATCATGATAGCTGCTATTCAAAAACCTTTTGATAGCCAAACAGTTTCCAAAAGTCTATTTATTCATATCAAAATAATATAGCATATATTTATGTAAGGTGCTCTAATTCTCCAATTTGTCTTGTTTTGAATATTACTTTTATCTACTGTCAGTACTGCCAGAAAACCTTAAGTGCCTTTCCTTTAATGAGATGCTTGGATGATAGCATACCTTACATACTCAGGTTGGTCCAAATTGTGTTCGGCAGCATCATGATGCATGGAGACAACATCTGCTTCATTATTAACAGCAAATTCCTGTTCAATCTCAACTGCAACTGGCAAATCCATAGTGAGGCCAAAGTGGCGTTTCTTGTTTTCTCTTGTCCCTTTGATGAATGTAGCACAATAACCTTTCAACCAATTTTTAATTGAAATTCCAAATCCTTAAAAAATGGGATGATTGTCACAATTATAATCATCGTAGAATAAAATTTATGCCCGAATGCTAATTTGAAATCAAAATTCAATAATATACTTTAATTGTTGATTTTTTGACGCTGACAAAAAACACAACCCTAAAACAGCTGGGAGTGACGTAGAAGAGACAACGATGTGCGACATCTAGGACGTAACATCCTGAAGCGAGTGTTGCGCTGTTGCCACGCTTGAGCTACTTTTGCCTGAACTCTACTGGTGGACTATAGCATCTATTACACAGGGCGAGATTAGTAGTTACTCGTCAGCGAATTTACTCGCTGCTATAAAAGTCGTCAAATGTAATCGCAGCTGCTAGTAAACTCGCGGCTCGCTTTTTCCCAGCGAGTAAAGTTGAACACCGGCCTACTTTTCTCGCTACTCGCTCGCAATTTTTCTCTCTGACGAGTGAAAACGCTATGTGTAATAAGCTAAAGCCCGACTAGTTGGATAAAATGGCCGATATAGTGCGTGTAGGAATTGTTTTTGTCAGCCTTTTAATTCGGAAAAAACTTCAAGAACGGTTAAACCAGAAAAAAAGGAAAGCGAGACGGATGTGTATCAGGAATTGGATTTCAAAACGGGACACACATGGGGCTTCTAATATTTTATTAAGACAACTAAAGGATGAAGATCCTGTGGCATATAGGAATGTTTTACTATTACAAATGGTTGACGAAACAATCCGCAAAAAAGACACAAAAATGAGGATGGCGATTCCAATTGCTACAAAACTAGAAATAACCCTACGCTTTTTGGCAACTGGTGATTCGTTCAAATCACTAGAATATTTATTTCGAGTGCCTGAATGTACAATTTCATTGTTTGTACCCGAAGTACTTGCAGCAATTTGTCAGGTCCTAAAGCCATATATAAAGGTAGGTTTAATTTAAGTATCAATTTATTTTTAACACAGTACTTATACTTATAAAACAAAATATTTTTATAATTGTATGAAAAATAGAATCTATTTCATTGAGAAACTTCTTCTACTATTTCAAACTCTGCCCCCGAAAATGTATTTATTAGTGCTTGATGAATAACACCGTTACCATAAACGCTATCTTTGTCATTTTGCACATTTACTTCATATGTTGCTGATGAGGCAGGGCTGGGATCACTGGGGGAGGATAACGGTGAAAAAGTTTGCACTTGAAGGGGCTCTCTGTAGTAATTATTTAGTTGATTATCATTTCCCAAACACATTAGCTTTACACGTGTAATAGAATTCTGAATTTCTTGCTGCAATAAAATAGCCTCACGTTGGGGTAATTGACGCAGCTCTGCAGCTACATACTTTCCAAATTCGTCGTACGGTTTTCCTTCTGATACATTTTCAGCTATTTTATTCAACTGACTGATTGCATCGCCAATTTCTGGATCTGCCTGTTTTCTCACCCTTTTTTTCGATTTAGGGGGTCCCATCCCCTCTGAGGGTTTTATATTTTGTTCCTTGGGCTGTGTATCGGGTTCTTCATCGTCACGCTGTTCAATTTGAGATTTCCTCAGATATATTTTGTGTGCTGGGTAGAGTCTGAAAAAAATTACAACAAATTTGTAAAGATATTTTTAACTTTTTGCTTGATTTAAGAATTGAACAAATTTTTTAAATCATATTTTTTTCTTGCAGATGCCTTCAACAAACAATTAATGGAAACAAATTCAATACAATTTTTTCCTTCGTTGGAATTTCCCAAGATGTTGTGGAGCAATTAATGGCAAGCATGTTCTGATTAAAAAACCTCCCAAGTCTGGGTCAATGTACTTTAATTACAAAAAAACATATAGTATCGTGTTATTCGCAATGGTGGACGCAGATTATTGCTTTACTTACATTGATATTGGAGCAAACGGCCGAGCTAGTGACAGTGCAATATTTAGAGACAGTACTTTGAACATAGCAATGCAAAATAACACACTTAACATGCCTGAAAATTCGGTCATTGTTGGGAACGATGCCTTTCCATTGAGAACCAACTTAATGAAACCCTACAGTAAGTCACAGCTTAATAATACTGAAAGGATATTCAACTACCGACTCTCTCGCGCAAGAAGAGTATCGGAAAATACATTTGGTATTCTTGAAGAAACTACAATTGACAATGTTATTTTGGCAGCATGTAGTCTCCACAACTGACGGAAAAAAAGTAGCCCAAATACTTATTTTCCTGAAAATGCCGTGGATAGAGAGGATCTTAACACGGGCAATATTACTTTTGGGCAATGGAGAAACCACGTGAATAATCTGCCAACGGTTAGTCATTTCGGAAGCAACAACTACAAAAATTCTGCAGAGGAAGTAAGACGCAAATACGCTAAGTATTTTATGGAAGACAATCCTTTACCGTGGCAATGGAAAAAAGTGGGATTGGAATTAGCTTGAACAATTTTTATATTTTTAAGTGATTTATTATTTTTCAAATTAATTCTGCTCAAAGTGTTAAAGAAAATTTAACTTTATTTGTTATGTATAATTTGCTTAAGTATTAATAAAAAATATATAGCTCTAAAATCTCCTTACCAAGTTTGAATTACTATGCCTTGTTGACAAAACTTCAGCGAAAAAATGGGCAGCTTCAAACCATGTTAGCTTTGGGGTATAAATATCCTCTGTTCCACAGCCACTTTTTTTGCTTCGTTCTATCTTGGCCAGTTCTTGACGAAACACATCTTTTAAATTCTTTATTTTGTTCTTTAGTTGTTTTTCGTCTTTTCCTTTTAAAAGCCCTTTATCCTCTAATTGCTCCCACATTTTCTTGAATAAAACATCTTTGAGTTTGATATTAACGTAATCTTTGTGTTTTATATTCCATAAAACGGGAAATTGTTCATAGACTTTTAAGAACTGTATAATTTGATTACTGTTCCATTTAACAGCCATTTTAGATTCTATTATCGCACAAAAGATACAAACAAACTAAACACTTTTCAAAGCTTCAATACGATGCGAGTAAAGCGATTTTACTAGCGCTGTGTAATTTGCGCTCGCTGAGCGTGTTCTACTCGCTCACTCGCTACTCGCCGGCGATCGGCTACTAATCTCGCCCTGTGTAATAGATGCTTTAGTGACCATACTTTTTTAGGGCTACGGCTAGTTCGTTTCACGTTCAAAAAAGATTTCATTGTGCTATGGAGTAAGCTCACAAAAAGATGCATTTTATCTTATTTTCGACGATGAAATTTCCGAAGTATCGAATACTTCCATAGCTCCATTTAGATATATCGATCAGTATATCGACTATCGAACTTGCACCATCATACTCGATAGTCGGTATTTTTTGACAACAGGAAAGTCGACGTCAGTGTATATGTTTTGTGTGTTTTGTGGTCGACGTCTCCAATTTCCATTTTTTCAATACACACCAAAAATTTTCCCCTCGAATATTTCGTTTCAAAATTTAGGAGGGTGAGAACAAACTGTAGGCATGAATATTTGTGGTTGATTTGTTCAGTCGTGCTGCTAACGTTAAGAAGTTTTCTAATGTATATATGCAACCCTTGTACAACACAGCTGTTTTTCCTTGATGTGGGACTGTGATATTTTCCTTAAATTCCATTGAAATTTCTTAATCAGCACAATGGAAAATGATCAAGACAAGATCATGAAGGTCATATGCTATTACCAGGAAAGACTAGAAAAATATGCAACCAGTGGTAGTGGTGAAAAGGTAGACATTAATTTTGTAATCTGCACTTTTTCTAGATGTTAACTTGCAGCTCTTGTACACGTTAGGGGAACTTAAAAAACTCCCTATCAAAACTACACATCTGGAAAATACTGGTGTTGGCAGAACTGTAAACGGCTTAAAGAAATTAGGTGGAGATGTGGGAGAAGCTGCCAAAAACTTGGTTACATTATGGAAAGAAATGGTAATGCAGGAAGAACAGGCAGAGAAAGAGGCACAATCAAATGGTTGGTGATTGTTATACTTCCTATAGTTAGGAATTGCACATGTTGATTTAGTGAAACTTGCTTAGGGTACCCCATCCCTGCATCCTATTTATTTTCCCAGAATGTTATGTTTTCGGCCCTTATCTACAGTCCTTGTGCATCACTTAAGTTTGTGCTTTGAAGCATGAAAAGTCTTAATTCCAGATATATTGAAGGAATATAACCAGCAACAAAAATTAAGCGTAAGACCAATCTCAGCATTTTATTTAATTGTTAAAACATTCAAATGTTTTTTGTTACCTGTTTATTCAAATTTTATTAAAGATTTAAATGATGTGTCCAACGAACAACTGATATCTTTAAACATTTTTGTCTCGCATACTTGTATATATTTTAGTTAGGATTCTTTTTTTGTAGAAATATTTTATAATTTCCTTATAGAAACAGCTTAAATATTATCTTGAAACTGATCAAAACATCACTTTTCACAGACACTATAATTCATTAGTCATCTGTCTTTCCAGTTACAGTTTGTTTTTTCTGCTAAAATACAGTATCTTTTAACAAGAGCCTGAATGATCCTGTACCATGCCAAGATCGTGCTAACCTGTCATAGCCTAGAATATCTAGAATTTGAGAGAAAAAATTGTAACAAGCAGTTTTACAAAGGAATTATATTCTTGAGGGTATTCATAAAAGCCCCTAGCTGGCTCACCTTTTTATGTAATGTCAAAGTTGGAAAAATCGCTTTTTCGCGTGTATTTAAGAAGTTATGAATTATTAGTGGATGTGAAACCTTACATGGCCATTTTCCTGTAATGGTTAATTTGTTATTGCAGAAAAATGTAAAAAAAGTGTCAATTTCCACATTTATTTTTTACTGGAGAATCCATAACAGTAAATCTACAATAATAGACAAAATTCAAGGCCTTTGTGGTGCTTAATATAAGAATATGATTCAACAATGTTCAATTGTTTCTGCAAATTCGTAACTGATACTAATTTTTTTGAGATAAATATTTTTTTAACCTATCCGTTGACTTTGGATTAAGCAAATGGCTCACTCTGTTGCCAGAGGCTTAGTTTAATCACATACTAAAAGTGATACCAGATTTTCTTATATTAATCATGCAAAAAGCTGTCATCAATGGTACATCTATTTTTGCTTTATAAACAATTAGAATAAGTCTGTTGTTTTTTGATGGCCATAATTGGGATGCTCACCCGTGAAAATCTGATGAATGAAAATATGCACTTTGACAAAAGAGGAACCTTTGGGGGCCGAGATACCATTTTTTCTCAAAGAAGCCACCATAATGTTAGTCACCAATATCAATAAGGGTCACAATTCAGTCCACATATGAAAAAACATTTGAAGTTTATTAAACTGCCTGTGTTTGATTTTCCTATGCAAAATGTCTCCTAATACTGGCGAGGAAGTGCTGTAATCGTCAAAACTTTTATTGATATATTATGCTTTTTGGATGTTATATGACCTGTACATCACGAAAAATCCTTGGTCCTTCTACAACTTGGAAAGTATTACACACAGGCCAAAAACAAAAAAGTTTAAAATCAGTCAAACTACGATTTTTAGGCTGGTGTTGCAACAGACTGTATAGTAGCAGAAAGAACAATACATATTTTACTTTATTTGCCCTTTTTGGAAGCTCCTTATTAGCACTTCCCTTCACAATATCATCACTATTTTTCTTCTGCATTCATAATTTTCTGTTGGAATAAATCCGATACATCATTATGCGGCCAAAATATCTGTACATGAAAAACGTCTGAACTTTAGGTGCAGACTCGGTGGGTTCGTCATATTCAAGTGAAAGCGAATCTAACAAATTAAAAATTGTTGAACCTCCAATTGCTGCCCCAGTTGAGAAAGAAGTAAAAGAACATAGTGAAAGTGATACATATCACAAAAGACATAGTCATAAATCAAATAAAGAAAATGATAGGTCAAGTAGTACAGAAAAAAGCCACACTTCAAAAGAAAAACAAGGGAATGAGAAGACTAATAGGTAAGGCTTTTTATTTTTTTATTTATTTAAAAATCAGTAACATTCCTTTTCCATAATGACGGTGATACTAATTTTAGTGTTTCAAAAAAGATGCTCACATTAATGTGACAGATTGTTTATTACTTGAATAATTTTATTATTTACATCTTACCTGAACTCAGGGGTTTATCTAAGTTAGTCAGCTTTTCCTCTAAGAATTAACTTTCTTAGGGCATCACCTTATTGCTTGAAAATAATAGCTTCTTCCTATTGTTAACAGATCTTGAAATCGTTATTTTTTTTTACCAAGAATGACAAGTCAAAGGGACTATGTTCGGTAATCTGCTGTGCAATAGCATATCATAATATCTGACAATCAGTACACTCCCGTTTTCGGGAAAAGTTTCTTCGCGCTAACCATGTTTCCGCGAATTATGTTTGCCAGGGGCGAACGAGGGTTTTTAAAAAATTTACTTTTATTTCCCGCTGATGAATCTAACTACCACTACAATAGTTGATAGCTATGTGATTACCAAACAAAAGGTACAACAGTTTTTATAAAGTCATATAATAGGAATACACATATAAGCTAATTCTTAAGAAGCATGGAGGACATACAGTACCGAGCAAAAGTGGAGAAACATTTTATTTTTTTAAAGATTTTATTAAACTATTAAAGTAAACACTTATGTTTTATTATAGCTTAGTGTAACATTTAAGTCAAAGCCCACATGAAAATAAAATTTCTGCTTTAATAAATCTAAGCTAACAATTATTATTAGAAAATACAGCGAGCAAAAATAGAGAAACATAATATACAAAGCGATTGTCGTTTACAAATAAGCTCATACTTGGTTGCATAACCTTTATTTTTGATAACTGCTAGACATCTTTTTCTCATAGAACCAATTACGCTATCTGTTGTTTCTTTTGGAATAGAATTCCAGGCGACTTCGATTGTTTCAAATAGTTCGGCACTATTTTTGAACTTTTCTGGATGTTCAGTCCGAATTTTTTTATCAACTAAATCCCACAGGTTCTCTATGAGGTTAAGGTCTGGACTCTGATCTGGCCACTTAATGACATTTATATTGTGATCTGCAAAAAATGTTTCTATTATTTTCGCTGTGTTCTTGGGGTCGTTGTCGTGCTGGATCCGCCAGCGTAGAGCGTTTTCTTCTGCGTAAGGTAGTATGGTATCAGTCAATATTTCCAAGTATTTGTACCGGTCCATAATTCCCTCAATTTTGACGATGGATCCCATTTGAAGACCACAGAAGCAACTCCATACTTGAACCTTTCCGCCTCTCCGTGTTTGATTGTGTCCAATGTGAACTTACGATCAAATCGCTTGTTTTTAGGACGTCTTACCCATAAAATGCCATCCGATGAAAATAAATTAAATTTACTTTCATCAGAAAATAATACAGAATTCCGCCATGTTTCTGACCAGTTCAAATGATCGTAAGCAAATTGAAGACGGGCGGGCTAATTTTTCTTGGAAATAAAGGGTTTTTTAGATGGTCTCCTTGCTGGTAAATCACTCTCCCTTAAACGTCTTCGAACAGTGTGGACACCAATATTTACTTCTTCAAGTTGAGCTTTTATGTCGACAGTAGTAGTAAATAGATTTTTAAGAGCAAGTGTTTTAATTTTCCTATCAATCCTAGGTGTGGTTTTTCGCGGTCTACCAGTCTTAGGAGGGCTTACCAACGATTTTCTCAGGCGGAACAGCTTAATAGTTTGGCAAATTACCGATCAGCTGTTTGGCTATGGTTGCTTCTTTAATACCTGATCGATATTTTAAAGTAATCAATTTTTTTATTTGCAAATTCAATGTAATTGCTCTGGCCATGTTTTTGAATTACACTTTACCAAATACACTAAAAAATAACACCTATTCTAATCAACGACTAAATTTAAACTAAATACTTACAAAATGTTTCTCTACTTTTACCCGTTGAACAAACAGCCAACCATATTATACTGAAAAAAAAGAATGTATACAAAGATAAGCATTTCATTATCTTGAGGTAGTCATACATAAAAAACTTCAATGTACAGTTTTGGGTTAAAGTAAATTTTCTGGATTTTTATTTGTAATGTGGTTTGTTTCTCTACTTTTGCTCGGTACTGTATCAGTTTGCATATATGAGATAATTCTAAGTTTTCTAACAACGGTAATAGAATGACACAAGATAACGCCCAGGTGATGCAAAATAATAAATTGTATAGAGTGAGCCAAAGTACATAACTCGCGAAGACTGGCGAATCATACTTGGTTTTTGCTTTTATGTATCATAAATGGATTTTTTGCGTCATAGAATCTTAACAACGGGTGCGACATCGTTGGATCCGATTCCTCTAGATTTCTTTAAAAAGGTTACAGGTATTATGTTGGCTTAGATGTGGAAGTTTTCTGGTAATTCGAAACACGGGAAAACTGAAATGTGCTTACAAAATGTAGGTAAATTTAGGGAAATTTGGAATTTGCCTAATTACAGGTGATAATCTTAATCTCTAATGTCCCTACAGAAAGTGGACCAGGATTATAGGTGGGAATTACTAATGATGCCTGCTTGAACATCTGCTGGGAGATTATTAGATGCTACTTTTTCAAAAAAAGCCTAGATAATTATAAAAGGATTTTCTAGGGCAGATCCTTATGGAGGGATTTGACAATGTTTTCAAATTGTCCTTTAATTAGGCTGTGGGGTATTTACAAATTATATGACTCCAGCAATTCAATATACACCTTGTAGTAGCTGATTGTGATATTAACTGATTGCAACATCAAGTGTTGTTTGTGCCTCCTTCAAGCTCCCCAAGGGCGAATCAAAGTAAGTTGAATATTTAAAAATAATATAATCTGTACATACCCGGTGCTTCAAATTCCACTTTTACCCTTGGGATCTCGGAAATGGTAAGAGATACGATGTCATTTAAATGGTGGCAAACTTACGCCTTTAGGTAACTAGGAAAATGGCACGTAAAAAGTTTCACTATTTCGAGAATTGACGGAAATAGACGAAAGAAACCGAAATTTGTCAAAATGGTTTTTATTTTTTCCTGTCTCGATTTAAGATGCGTTTTCAAAGTAACAAGTAAGCAACCCCAAAAGTCATCCGTTCTCGAAGTGTTTCGATAAAGATGGTCCCGACATTTGTGTCAAAAGCGGGTCATATTTCAACAATTCCTCTTAATGAGCAAAGAACTGTTACTGCGGATTGGTATACCACCATTTGTTTGCCCCAAGTCATCACCGAGCTTCGAAAAATCAACCCCGAAAGAAGAATCATCCTCCACCAAGACAATGCAAGCTCGCACACAGCCCAATAAACAAGGCAGTATTTAACGGAAGAAAACGTGGAATTATTGGACCATCCTCCATATAGTCCCGATTTAAGTCCTAACGATTTCTTTACTTTCCCGAAAATTAAAAACAGGCTGCGTGGTCAAAGGTTCCAGTCACCAGAAGAAGCAGTTGACGCATTCAAAACTGCCGTTTTGGATCTGCCAGAAAACGAGTGGAATAAGTGCTTCGAAAATTGGTTCGAGCGCATGCAGATGTGTATTAATCTTCGTGGAGAATACTTCGAAAAACAATAAAGTCATTTAAAACTACCTACCGTGTTGTTTTATTTCCATATGCAAAACTTAAAAGACATCCCTCGTAATCCAGGATTGCCTGTTCGCACATTTATTACGTGGTAGGACCTCCAGTGACCTGTTTTCAACTAAACTACTATTTTTAATACATATCATATATTCGTAAAAATGTAATTTATTCACGTAGTATTCGTATATTATGTGACGTTAAAATTTTCAGACACTGCCGTATCCGAAATTCCCTAATATTTTCCGATACGATATTGTGTTCACTGGAAAATATCAAAGGCGACAACGACAAGTGTATTTTCTGATTGTTAGATATTATGTGCCTCCAATAAACAATACAAAGAGCACAAGTTAGAAGTGTCTTTTTGACCGCCATTACATTTAAAAATTTCCACATAATAAATAAGGAACAGTTAAAGAAAAGCACTGTATCTATAAATGTAAATATTTATCTCGTCCCATTAAAAAGGTAGTCTTATGATGATGCAACATTACACCTTTATTACAGAGGTAGCAATAAGGAGGAGAAATCTAGTCATCATTCTAAAACCAATGGCGAGAAAACTGATAAGCGTAGAGAAAAGCACAGTAGTAGCAGTTATAGTAAATCTAGCAACAGCAGTGAAAGAGATAAAAACGAATCTTCTCGTAAAAGCAAAGAGAAAGATAAGTCCAAGCATAAATCTAGTAGACACGAAGATGAACGAAAGCATAAAAAAAGGGATCCTACTCCAAGTTCCGAGTCGGAATCAGAATCAGACACAGAAAGCGATACGTCAAGTGAATCTTCATCAGAATCCGAAAGTGATCATGAGACCAGCAAACATTCAAAAAGTGACAGGCGGCGTAGTTCAGATAGAGAGGGACATTCAAAAAGGAAACGACATGACTCTAGTAGTTCGAGTGAGAAAGAAAAACATATTTCAAGATCAAAGGAGAAATCAGACAAGCATAAAAATGAAGATGAGAAACACTCAAAGAAAAGGCATCGTTCAGAGTCGAGTGATGAAAAAGATTCCAAGAAAAAATCAAAAAGCAGTGAGAAAGTCAGCTCCAGGTCCACAGAGATGTCCAGCAAAAGGAAAGATGAATGCGATGAGAAGCATTCGAAAAAGAAAAGGCACTCCAGTGGATCCAGTGATGATGAAACGACAAAGAAGAAAGAAAAACGTAAGAGCAGTGAAAGTTCCAAATCAAAAGAAAAGTCTGCTGGAAAAAGGAAGAACTCAGATGAAAATAAAAACTCGAAGAGGAAAAGGACTCATTCTAGTGATGGCAGTGATGAGGAAAAGGTTGAGAAGAAGTTAGAAAAGCCCAGTAGAAAAAGAGATGACTCGAATAACAGGCATTCGGCTAAGAAGAGAACTCATTCTAGTGATGGTAGTGGAGATGAAAAAATTGAGAAGAAATCAAAGACTGTTGAGTCTAGAGATTCAAAGTAAGTCCTTGCTCTCGTAAATTATTTTGTTCTTTGGAGATCTAATAGCCCAAAATATACTAAGTGACATATAAATCCGAACACCCAGTTTAAATGGTTTTATTTTAATAAAAGTTGGTGAATGTATTTATCTTACTGTAAATAACAAGTGACAAAATTTTCAGCCTTATCAGTTGGACATTCGGGTTTTTATACTGCTTTTTTTTAATTCACTAACCCCTCTAAAAATGAATATTTCAGCCGCAGTAAAGAATCAACGTTGGCGGATTTTGGTTCTTGACATCCTTTACGATCGGTTACGATGCCTAGAGTACGGAGACCTGTACGATTTCGTCAACTTAGTGAGTTTGATAGGGGCCGTATAGTGGGACTTCGGGAAGCTGGACTTTCTTTTTGGGCAATCGCAGTTAGAGTGCAAAGAAGTGTACACACTGTGGTTAGGTGTTGTCAGGCATGGCTTCGAGAAGGCCGTACGCAAAGAGAAAGGGGCACTTGACGCCGCCGTAGAACAACAGACCGTGAAGATCGCCGCCTAAGATTATTGGCCTTAAGGGACCGTTTCTCCTCTACCAGGTCCATTGCAAATGAATGGTTTGCAGAACAGGGAAGACCTATTGGCATGCGAAGTGTTTACCGACGAATGAGAAGTTTTGGCTTGTTTTCTTACCGGCCACACTGGGTCCTCCCTTTAACTCGAGAACACCGACGTAATCGCCTTGAGTGGTGCAGACAACGGTGACTCTGGGATCAGGAATTGAACAGTATTGTCTTTAGTGACGAGTCTCGATTTTGTTTAGGCATGCACGATGGTCGTGCCAGGGTTAGAAGGCGACGTGGTGAAAGGAGGAATCCACAGTTTTTTGTTGAAAGACATGTTCATCACACTGTTGGAGTTATGGTTTGGGGTGCTATAGCTTATGGTTCCAGGTCACCTTTAATCTTCATCAGAGGTAACATGAACGCGCGGCGTTATATCCACGAAGTTCTAGAACCCCATCTTTTACCCTATCTTGACACCCTGGCAGATCCAACTTTCCGACAAGATAATGCCCGATCACATGTTGCAAGAGTCACAATAGACTTTTTTCAAAACATAATGATGTCACATTGTTACCATGGCCACCAAGATCTCCCGACTTATCCCCAATTGAGCACGTGTGGGATATGATGGGTAGGAGATTGCTCAATTTGCAACGTCCTCCTCAGACTCTAGAAGCACTTCGAGAGGAGTTGGTGGTTGCCTGGAATGAGATACCACAGGAGGACATTGACCACCTGATCAGAAGCATGCCTAGGCGCGTTGGAGAATGCGTAGCACATCAGGGTGCATCCACACATTATTAAAGGTCAAAGGGCTTTAAAGCAGTGCAATCATTTTGAAATTTTTATCATTTACTTATTATGCTTCATTAAGTACTTATACAAAATTTTATTAAAATAAAACCATTTAAACTGGGTGTTCGGATTTATATGTCACTTAGTATAATTTGGAAAGAATACACGGCCCTTAGTATCTAATTGGGTGGGCGAAAAATTCTTCAAGTTCTTTTGGGCTACTTAGTCATGAACTAATACTATTTGTTTGGGCTCTAAATAAAATATAATTTTTTGCAGGTCGAAAGATAGGTCCAGCAAGAGTAGTAAACAGGATGAGGATAAACATAGGCATAAAGACAAAGGCTGTGATAAAGACAAGAAAAAAGAAAAGTCTAAGGAGGATAGCAAAGCAAGGAGTGAGAAGGACAGTTCAAGCACAAAGTCACATTCATCATCAAGCAGTAAGGATAAGGATGCCAATAAACACAAAGATGACAAGAAAAGTAGTACTAGCTCGAAATCCAAATCAAAATCTGAGCCAAAGACTGATAAAGATTCAAGGTAAGTAGTACATATTAAATTGAAACCAGTGTTGAGCTTTGTATCTTGCTGTACCTTTCTTATAGTTATAGTTTTGTATTGTACTGTAAATGAATTAAATTCCGTGCCAGTGACGTTCCATGACAGCTTCTGTCAATCTTAGTTCTTTTTAGTTTTGTTTGGTGATATTTCTAGTAACCTTGGTTACCTTTGAATTGCATAAATACTTTAGATCTGAAAAAAAGCCGTGTTACGTATCCTCCAAGCAGAAAGCATGTCAAGTTTTATTCGATAAGGATATTGAAAAATGAACCAGCTGCATTCGTAGACGTTGAATCCTTGGGAGAAGTTCGAACAGGTTCAAAACCGGTTCAATATTCAAATACGGGTTTTGCTCACATAATAGTGAACCCACATGTCCCATTCGGATCGCTGACGCGCTAGTATCGCATTTCTATTCGGATGAAGAGACAAATAGTAACATGGCAAAATTGAGAAAATACAGATGACATTGAATTCAGTGAGATGTGTGAGTAATCACAATTACAGGGTGTAAACGTTATGGTAGTCATTATCAAAACAAGTCAAGTTCATGTGACCCTTGGTCCGAAATGGCTTTATAGTTTACAACTTTATATCGACCACAATCGCCGCAATCATACTAATTTTTATAATCTAATCTAAAGACTTCGAGATACAGGAAGTGTTCAGCCCACTAATATTCGCACTTGTGAAAGACAGGTTACTGCAGAGCAGGAGGAATAAATTTTAAATATCGTGGAAATAAATGCAGATATCAGCACACGGGAATTAGGCCGCCGCGTAGGACTATCGCATACCATAGTCCATAGAATCCTACGGGAAAATTTGCTTTATCCCTACCATGTACAACGAGTGCAGGCCTTGTTGTACCAGAAGACTATCCTTGCAGACTAACATTCTGTCAGTGGTTTTTGCACAAGAACATTGAAAATCCGGATTTTTTTAAAAACATGGACGAATGTACTTTTACGCGAGACGGTATATTAAATTTCCATAATATTCACACGTGGGCCCAAGAAAATCCTCATACCATACGTGAAGGTCATTTCCAACAACGTTTTAAAATAAAATATTTGTGCGGGTATTCTTGACGATCAGGTAATTGGCCCTTTCGAGTTACCTCCAAAGTTGTCAGGAGAAGGATATCTTAGCTTTCTAGCCAATAACCTACCAGAACTTTTGGAACAGACCTTAGACAACATGCCATTATAACAGAGACAGAATTTGTGGTTTCTTTATGACGGGCACCACTAAACATTTTTAGAGGCGTCATTCAGTATTTGAATGAACATTATCCAAATCGCTGGATCGGTTGAAATGCTCCTGATCCTCGAAAATGGCCAGCAAAATCTTCTGACCTCAATCCGATGGATTTATGGTATTGGGGAGAACTTAAAGGGATGGTTTATGGGGCTGGTCCAATCACAACTGAAGCACAACTTCGCGAAAAAAAAAATTAATGCGGCTGAAATAATAAATGGACAACTTCGAGGACCTAGAGTAAGAAGAAACTGGGTTCGTCGTAATGAAGCTTGTGTGGAAAGTGGAGGACGACATTTTGAACACCTTTAAATACAAAAAAAGTGTAGTGTGGGTTTTAAAAAGAAAAACAATGTATTTATCAAAATTGTGTTCCCTATGTATAAGTGGATTTTTTTAATACGTTCAATAAACGTTCTCGCATCAGGTGAAGCGCTGAGATAGTTAGTGGTAAGTCCGTTTTTTTAATTGTTTGCATTTTACGAGTACATTATCAAATAATGAAATAATACCTTAGAGCCAAAAATAACAAACTCCATCTTTATTTACACTGCGTTCCGTCGGAATTTGCGTCTGGCATTGCGGCGTTGTCAGATTTTATTTTACTTTAAAGTCGCTTTTCTCTAACTGACCCCCATGTTATATGAAACTTTTTGCTTCTTTCAACCCCATCTATCACCCATTTAAATAATGACTATCATAACGTTTACACCCTGTATAATCGTTCATCTGCTGTGTCCTGGATTGTCAGATGCACACTGTTCATGGAAAGGAAAGGAGTAACGTACAGTAGCGGACAACAGTTCGGAAACATTCTTAGTAATTTTTAAATAGTGCTCTTTATTACTAAGGACTATTTTTTCTCGTATAGTTTGCTTACAGTCTTGAGGATACAAATGACAATTTGTGTTTGCTGTGGTATTACAGACTTTAAACTACCTTCATATTATTTTATGACCGAAAATGAGACGACAAAAGTATGGAAATATATTTTTTATTACAAAATTAAATACAATAACTTACAAAAAAAGATTTAAAAAATACTGTTTAGCTAATATTTGTTAGCATAGCCTTTAGCATTCAATACTGTCTGACAGCTGCTGCTCATAGAGGACACCAATTTTTTACACACGTCTGTTGGGATATTTTGCCAAATATGGTTTAAATAATCAAATAAGTCGTTCCTATTTTAAAAAATGTTTCTTGTCAGTTGTCATTTAACATGCCCCCAGAGATGTTCTATAGGGTTTAGGTCCGGGGATTGCGAAGGCCATGTACGAACATAAGTATTTTTTAGTCCTAACCAGGTCTCTACGAATTTTTGAGGTATGCTTGGGATCATTATCTTGCTGAAATCGTAAAGGCATATTTCTTCAGCAGAAGGGAGCATGTGTTCACTAAGAATATATTTTTAAAATTTTTGACCAATTTTCCCAACAATTTTAACAAATGAACCAGTACCAGAACTAGAAAAACAGCCCCAAACCATGATGTTGCCTCAACCCTACTAATTATTATCAATGACGCGGTTTTAACTACCTACTGTTTGTTACGCGCTATTGCAGTATCGCCAACGATATGACTTGAAGACAGATAAATGTTGAAGTCATTGTGATCTTATTAAACAAAATGTCATTTTAATTTTTGTTATCCATTGTTTTCCAGCAAAATGAAAATTCCGAAGGCATCTGACATGAAGAAAATCGCAAATGGTATTGACTCTGGATCCGGCGCCAGCTTTGCCGAGGCCCTAGGGCTGTGCGGGCCCCCGATCGGTATGAAAGGTTCTAGTAGCAAGAAGAAAAGTCTCGAAAAAGCTGGGAAGGCGAAGGAACAAGGCGGCTCTTCGAAACCGACTAAACGGGAGAGTAGCGAGGAAAGAGAACCGCCGCCCATGGAGAAGGATTTCGATGAGACCGACGAAGATGAAAATGTAAGTTCTCAACTTGTATATATGATGTTACAAAATGTTTCTAGGAGAATTGTAAAGCAGAAACAGCATTTAAAATATGGAATAACGTTTATACAGAGATACAGTAATGGATAAAAGTATATAGACAAATATGAATATTTACCTAAATACCTTTAGAAATCGAATTCATACTTCATTGCTCCATAAACAAATGCGTTATTAGTAGAAAAACTAAATTCCTTGTTTTTACGTTATGCAATCAACACAATACAAGTCTGAATATAAGCACTTTTTTATGAGGGACAAAAATATGTAGACACATTCTTTTCAACATTAGTTTGGTACAGTTTCGTGTCAGAAGAGGATTAGTTTGTGTTCATCAAGCATTGTGGAATAACTTGAGTCATTTTAAGACCATGCCACGTGATCCAGAAATTTATTTCGATGTGAAAACTAAGATCATTGAGTTATACAAGGATGGTCAACATCAAGTCGACATTGCCAAAAATTTGAAGCTGAAGCGTAAAGCGGCTTGGGCAATATTGAACAAATATAAACAAAAAGGTATCTTCGAAGCCTCTAAGAGAAGTGGTCGGCCTAGAAAACTAAATGCTAGATCAGTTAGATTAATAAAAGTAATTTCGTCCAAAGATCCGTTTAAAACCCCAAGTCAAATAAAAGCCGAAATCGAGACAAAAGGAATTGTCAGTGTTTCTACGAAAAATATAAGTAGAAGATTAAATGATTTGAAGTTATTTGCACGTCGCCCGAGTAAGAAGCCGCTAATCTCGAGGAAAAACCGTAAGGACCGATTACAATTGTGACTGGAAGAGGGTATGTTTTAGTGACGAATCCCATCTATATGTTGGGATCAGATGGTGTTCATCACGTTAGACGTCCTAGTGGATAAAGATTGAACCCCAAGTACACTTTGCCCACTGTCAAACATGGAGGCGGGTCTGTTATGGTTTGGGGGTGCTTTTCGGGGTTTGGGATGGGACCTTTACATAGAATAGATGGCATTATGGATAAGTTTGTATACACAGACATAGTAAAGCATGTCATGTTACCCTATATGGAAGACAATATGCCCTTAAGATCAATCTTCCAGCAAGATAATGACCCGAAGCACACTTCAAATCTCGCAAAGAATTTCTTTCTGGATGAGAAAATACCAGTTCTCAAATGGCCTTCACAGTCTCCCGATATTAACCCCATTGAAAATCTATGGGAATACTTAGATAAGCAAATACAAGATAAAAATTATTCAAGCAAGGATGAACTTTTTGCCGCTTTAGAGCAAAAGTGGAGACAGATTGATGAATCTTATATCAAGGAACTTCTACAATCTATGCCGAGACGATGCCAGGCGGTGATTGATAATAATGGTTATGCTACAAAATATTAACCCAAACATGGTTGGTTTTCTATTATTCAATGAACTTTGCTTCTTTTTTCTATAATTGTTTTGCTTTGTCTATATATTGTTGTCCTTCATAGTTCCAGTTTTTTCAATTAATTTTTTATTGAAGGGAGTCTAATGAATTTATTTATGTATAAGTATTATGCTATAAAGAATTATGTATACAGGTTGGTGTATTAATAAAACAAGTTAAAAAAGAAATACAGCACAATATTAATTTGTCTATATACTGTCCATTACTGTAGATCCGGAAATGTTTGTTTCGTTTATAAGTGGCAAACCTGTCGATCCTTGACTATCTAGCTCACATTTCTCGAATAAAAACATTTTTATCGATACAAGGGTCACATTAACAATCAAATTGTCTTTAAGTGCACCTACAATCAGTAGCTTTCGTGCCGGTAAGTCTCCGTGTTGGGAAAAAAAAAACATTATGCTACTGTTTTTTTCTGAAAAATTAGTGGCAGATTGATTTTACTTAAAAAGTGCCTCTCGGAGTTTCTCGTTCTAATGCACTGTTCACTGTTTTAACAGTTTATTAATTTTTCCTATCATTAAATCTTAGCGCGAATTATGCACTTTTTACTGCCTTCATGTCGGTCGTGCAAGTGCAGTATCTACCAAGAGCAACCAATAGCTAAAACTATGTTATCCCGAATAAACTGTGTGCTCTGATGGTGGCTATGAGTCCCCTCAGGGTGAGGTTCTTTGTACTTTGATTCTTGGATGCAATGGTTATTTGGGCGCCACCTAGCTTCCAAAAAATAAAAAAAACTAGGAAATGAAATTAAAACAAGTATTTAGGAATTGAAATTAAAAACAAGTGTTTCTGTTTGGATTCTGGCTTTAAAAGAGATACCAAATCACAAGGTACACAGACATTTATGGAACAAAAACGGATACCGCATGTTGGTACGATGATCATACGATCAATTCTGATAAATATTTTTTTTAGGTTCCTGCATTACTAAAACAGCCGGAGCTGGAACCGTTGAATATTAACATGTCTAGTCTCCTACCTGAGATAACTCCAAACTACAAGCCTTTGGGTTTACCAGTGGACATCCAACAAAAACGTTTCGAAAGAATGACTGATGATGAGGCACTTAGCAGGGTGATGACAAACAAAAATTATAGGTAAGATACATCATTTTTTTGCGTAATTAATCTTTATAATTGTACAGAGTATTTTGAAAGATCGACCTTTCCTTTCCACGCCAAAATAACCGTTCATTTGATAAAAAACTTCAATCACCACCCTGTCACATGATACTTATAAATACTGTTCGAGTTTGTCATCACCTGATTCAAAAACATAAGTTCTTAATATTCGAGGTTATCTGGGTCTGAAACTGTGCGAACCTTGATATTCCTTCAAATGGTCCGTGCCCCCAACTTTTTTAAGCGATACACAAACTGGAACGTAGAATGAAAACGGCTAAGAAAATACTTCGTTGTAAACATATCGGAAAGTTCGTTATTGCTGTAGTCTGGTACCGAGAAGGAAGATAGTAACAAATCACATTGCACGCTACTGCTGGTGCGGTATGCTTTTGAATTACAGCGACGTGTTTTGCTGGTGTGCCATTACTGTTTTTTTAAAACCCGATTCAGAAACAAATAGCTCGGTTTAGCGACACGGCGTCTAGGTTGATGGTCACTGACGCACGTCGAATACAATTTTGGTTCTTAATATCTCGGTTACCTTGAGGCGGACTGGGGTTAGGAAAAATTTTAATTACAAATTGACAATTTTTTTTTCAACTGGTGGCTATTATTCATTGTCCTTAGTGGTAGATTTCGTTTCGCGCTGTCATATTTTGATAGATCCCACACGGTGTATAGTTGCTATGCTTTTGTTTCTTGTCCGAGAAATTCAAGCCTGGTCCATGCTGATGTGTAGCCAAAAAGCACGAAAAAGCTGACCATGGTTGGCTGTCTTTGGTCAGGCGGGTGAAAGCCTAGCGTTTTAGCTTGTTCAAGGGCAAGTAGACCATATCTACTGCACAGCTAGAATCGCCGCCACCAAGCAGTCACGTGGTAACTGGGCCTCCAATTTGCGGACTTTAGCTGCTATTCATTGTTCGCAGTGGTCGATTCTTTTAGTAGATGGCATCTTACAGGTTTTTACGAATAACTTCTGTTATCATAAAGTTATAAATGACACTTTTCGCGGGTGATTTATTCACTTTGTGCAAAACCCCAGCTGATTAGCTCTTAAGGATCCACGCGTGGGATTACACGGTTTTGATCGCAACATCGAAAATCTGAAAAGTTTGTAATTTAATTCAAAGAACATTATAAAGGAGACGCAAAGCTCTCTGCACATAAATCGATCCGGTTAGAGCTTTGCTCCGCCAATATATTTACGATAAAAGGATAAAAAATTCAGTGAGGAGTTGCCTACAACAATATCCTCTTACCAAGAGTAGAGAGGCAGAGCAAAGCAAAAGATTCAAGTTGATCCATCGGTAAAGAGTAAGCACCCCCTTTTCGGCGAGCAATATATCAAGTTATCCCTCAGAAAGGACGTCGTCTACATTTCCTGTGCCGTTTAGTGGGCTTTCCGAGGCTGTGAGTCATTTTAGCGGGTGCAAATCTGAAAGTGATTCACATTATATAGAGAAAAGGGTAGTATAGCTTAAATCCATATCCCAGATGGTGGATCTGCTCGAAAACAACAGGTTTTTGTCAGATTCAGAAAAATATATTGGAAACCTCTTTCAGGATATATTAAAATAAATATTCAAGATATTATAGAGAGAATTGCATGTATGTTAAAAATGTCCTATAAACAGTGAACCTCCTCAACTAAACAGGACAAAGAGTTGAGTTGAGATAATTGTCAGATTAAATTTCCTGACTACACTATCCTGCAAATGTCACCTTAATGCTATGGAATATGTGACACCAAAAAAATTGCTTATTCTTATAAGAACACTGTGTTCGGAAAAGTCCCTAGTCTCTGTATATATATTTTTTTAAAAGATAGTATTTTTAGAATATATTATTTTTTTAGGACCAAAGTATACTCTGGAAATAAAATGTTTGGAAAAGTGGATTCTCTATTTGATCTCTGTGTTAGAATATTACAAGATAATATTGATGGTATGTATTTGCTATAAGCTTAGTAGGAAAATAATTTGTTTAACCATCTGAAGTGATTACTTAACTTACTTAATAAGTAAATGATTACTAACAAACTTAGGCGATCGTAAAATGCAGTATGGCGGCTGTTCTATTCTGTGAGATCGTTATTTTTCACATACAAAACGTTGTCTTACAGCATTGGAGTACACTGGAGGTGTCCCTTACTCAATTCTGAAACCGGTGTTGGAAAAAGCAACTCCAGATCAATTGTTTAACATGGAGCATCATAATCCATATTTAATCGAGGAAACTGATGAATTGTGGCAGTTGCATTGCCAGAAGGAATTTCGTACTAAGAAAAGGGAAGAGCTGGAATCTTGGAGAGAAATGTACATGAGGTGAGTTTAGTTTTAATACATAATTTACATAAAAATATCACTTCAAAGTAGGCGGTTTCTTCCTGACTCTTTGGAGCTGCAGTTCTTTCTTTCAACTCTTCATCCATACATAAGTGGCCACTTGAGTAGCCTCAGGCGCTGGCGCAATTTTCTGATGAACGCAATTATAGTATTAGGCTAAATTAAAATGTAGATCAAACTGACCTTTTTTACATTTTTTTTTAATTTTTTGACTTGAGAGTTTGTCATTTATTTCATACTAAACCCGCGGCTCCGCTCGCGTGGAAGTAGTGTGAACGGTATTAGTTTCGGAGAAACAAATGCAAAGTGATGTAATAGCTATTTTCGCAATGAAATTTTGTATCCACCATTTTAATGCAACAATAAATTAATTTCAATAATTGCAAATTCTATTGCTTCGACAAAAAGTAATAATAAGTTTACTTGGAAATTTAAATGATCTCAAAGTTAAAGATGTGTTTGCATTTCGGGAATTGGAAATAGGTTTCATTTGATCTTCAATAGTCAAGGTCGGGGACATACTTGGCCATAAAGTCTCTTTCTCTTCATATATCTGGTGTCAAAAATGTTTGTTTCCATTAAAGAAAACTGTCATATTCAAGGTCACAAGCTGAATCTTTTCAAACCTTACAATTTCATTACACAACATGGGCTAACATATATACTTAAATACGTAAATTTCCTTGCTCTTTACATTTCCAGTGTCAAAAACATTGGTTTCAGTTAGTCAAGGTCACGTTCGAGACCACCAATGGATGATTTTTTTAAACCTTACAACTTTGTTCTATATTTTAATCTTCGAGATTTGATCTATCCATACTGACAGGACAGACATATATTATTTATTTTGTGATTTTAGATGCTTGGACGAGAGGGAAGCTAGGTTGAATGCGATTACTGCGAATATAAAGCAAGCTCAAGATAAATCAATACCTGTCAGAACTACAAAGCTTGCTTATGTTGACAGTGTTGTCAAGCCGCCTAGAAATATAGCCAGGAAGCAGGTGCGTGTGTGTAGAGCAAAAATATTATTCATTCACCTATTCTTTTTTTTTTTTTTATATCGAACCATGCATATTACCATGCATACACGTACAGATAAACTCGGAGTTTTGTAGTAACGTTTATTTTTAGTACAATATTTTTGAAATAAGAAATGAACTATTTGTAAATATCTTTCAGTACCTCCAACATTTATGAACTATAGACAACCAATAGTCTTTAATAAAAATAAAATGTTTTCGGCGAAAAATGATCTTAGTTGAAAGCAATACTTACAATTAGACAAGTCATATAAAAATAGCTTAACAAAAGTTATAAGTAATCATACAAAATCTAACTCTCAAGACCAATTTGTAACTTGATGTTTCTTTGAAGGCTAAGATTGAACAGTGGAAATTGGAACAGAAACTGAAACACAGACATCAATTAGGAAGTCGAACTGTTTTAAAAAAACGGATGTTTTACTAAATACACATACATATATGTGAATGTATATTGTTAACATATATATCAGATGTACCATAGTCACTGTTTTCTTAATCTGAAAATATATGTACATGTTGATACACGGTGCTCTTACTTTTACTAATCGATTTTCAGTATTTGAAGTCCAGCCTGCCAGATATTGATCTTATAATTTGAAAAGCTAATAGTCAGATTTCAATGAGGTTTCGGCAGTAGGTTGCTCCAGTGCAAAAACTAATGTTGTTTTTTGTTAATTCTATTTTAGAATTTCTCAAAAATCATAAATCCTGGTGCACGTTTTTTCATGAAGAGATTTCGGTTTTCTAGTGAATTATAAAAATGTCGTTGGTCGGTAGCCCTATAAAACAATCTTGCAAAATAACTGTTTTTGCTTGTTCTCTAAGACTTCTTTCAAATTTTGTTTATTTCTTCCGTTCAATAAATGTTTATGTACCTTGTGAGCTTGTATCTCATTTAGCACCAGAGACCCAACATTGGTCACTTGTTATTTGTTTTCCTAGTGCTTGGAACTGGGTGGCGCCCAAAACAACCATTTGCATCCAAAATCCAAAGTACAAAAAACCACCCACTGAGGTCTCATTAACTACCGACCAACTACAGTTACATTCTTCTACCTAATTAGTTCACGCGGAATAACAAATAGGTACTCCCAGGTAAAAAACGGTATCATACCCGAAAAGAAATTGGTAACTCCTGCAGACCGATTAGCACAATTAGCGAAGTCTGGCGAAGCCGCGAAGGTTGCAGTACCTAATCCTGGAGCGCGAGCCGCAGAAAGATCCAGTAAGTAACTCTCTAAACTAACTAGTTACGTAAAATTTCCACACAAGGTTACTCATATGCCAAAGCTTTGTAGTGTCAGTCCAGTGGCGGCGGAGTTGAAGGCAAAAAACGAAAAAAATATCAATCGCTGAAACTCTGTTTTTGATGTTGCAGGGGTTCCTAATCATTGTCATAAAAAAACTGGAGTGCTTAAAAGGTGGGGGTTAGGGGAAAGTGGTAAATGTTGAATTTTTGATATGTGAAACACGTTCTATCATTAAGGAGCTTCTGATCCCAGTAATTACAGGAAATTTAAATGACGAAAATCTGACGAATAATGTGCTCACGATTAGAAAAAATCGGTACCTGCGTTATACG